AAAAATGTAATTGATTCTTGTAATGGAAATGCTGAATTTTGAGCAGCCATTACTCCAGTCAGAGTCACATGATTCTTTAGAAATAATTCTATTGTGCTAATTTGCTCAAGAAATATTTCAGATTATCAGTTTTAAAAAAGACTTTTGTGTCACTATGTGAATCACTATGTGTTGTGCTGCTTAATATTCTTGTTGGAAACCATAATACATTTTTTTAGTTAATAAGAACATAATTTATTTGAAATAGATTTTTTTTGTAACAGTGTAAAAGTCTTTATGTGATCAATATAATCATTGCTGAATAATATATATATATATATATATATATCTCTAATTTCCAGCTAATGCAAATGCGCATTCTGTTGAAAGGACCAAGCAATGCCTCTGCTGAATAAGTGATTTTAAGTTTGTTTTTTGTTTTTTACTGAGTGAAACTTGAAAGACACAACATTTGAAGCATCCAACAGAATGACGACATTTCATTGTTTAAAACCTTTTTACAACAGAGAAAAAATATGTACAGTGTATAGAAAAATAAGTTTAAAAAAATTTATTTAAAAAAAACGTTCACATATTTTGTCCATTAAAAAAAGATTTAAACCGAAAGAAATGAATACTACTTTTGATAAATACGCAACATGGCTGCATTAACATATGTGCACACCCCATATAATTAAAAGGTTTGGGTTTTTCCTCTAATGCTAACAGTTGAATAAACTCTAGTATATAATCTCCTTAGACAAACATTTTCAGTAGTACGGAAGAGCTCAGCTTTAAACGTGGAACTCATGTAGGATCCTCCTGTAGAGTCTGATGCAGAAGAGCTTGACTGGCTTCCACAAAGGCCAAACTTGAACCCCACTGAACACCTTTGGGATGAATCGGAACGCAGATAGCAAGCCAGATCCATTACCCATCATCAGCGCCTGACTTCACTGATGTCCTTCTGTCTCAATGTGTGCAAATCCCCACAGCAGCATTCCAACAACTATAATGGAAAGTCTTGCCTGAACAGTGGAAGTGGCTAGGCAGGACCAATCCCCTAATAATGCCCATGGTTTTGAAATGAAATGTTAGACAAGTACAGCACCCAAAATGTCCACTTGCATTACCACTTTTTCCACCTAGAAAAAGCTGTTTAATTTTACGAAAGACAGGTCAAGGTGACTAGCATTTCACATGACCAAGAGTGTTTTTTGAAATTATTGGTTATTTCGTGTCGTGTGGGGTTCTGAGATAGCCTACGTTTTTTTTCTTACTCATTTGAAATGTGTATTTTTTGTCTTTATTTTTTTTTCTCGTAACACCTGTTCCGATCTGATCGCTTTCTGCGTGTCAGCACACTGTTTTTCTCATGGTCTTGTGACCACTTCCTTCTCGTCGTTTTCCTATCCCGCCCCTTGTGACAAGTTCAGCTCAACCTATATGCCAACAGCTCAGCAGCTGTAAGATAATTGAACTGAAACCGTCCCTCGGTGCTCGTTTGCCTTATCATCAGTCCCTAAAAGGTTTATTTTAAAAGTAATTAAGCTCGTGATCCGGCTTATGGCACGAAGTAAATGGACGCCGTAATGGAAAACTGTCGCGTCATTTAGCAACAGGCGCTTCTGCTGTATTCGGCTGGGCTTCCCCATATGGCAGAGCGCGCGGGAGGGATTCCTGCAACGTCAGCCGAAGCGCGTCATGACGTCATTGACGAAGCTTCCTCTTTTTGGTCTCTGTGACTGAGACAAGACACATCCTTTCTTTTCTCCGACCGCACGGTCAAAAGAGGAAGAGCGAATCTACACTGAGATCGATGGCGCGGCTCCCGCTCCTGTCCGCGCATCACAGGCGGAAGAACGAAGGAGATTCCGCGCTGCCTTGAGAAATAACAGGCTCGTGAGCAAAAGTCTTTGAACAGGAAAAAGATGCCAACTCGTGATAACGGCGGAAAGAGGAGGTAAAGCCAATTCTGAGTACACAGACTGCGAGATGGAAATTGGCAAAAACACGGAGAACGTCAGGAAACACCGATAAAAGACTTCAACTCGATAAAGCGTGTCTTAGACTGCAACCTGCCAAGAATGTGCAATAAATACGTCATTTAACCACGAAATAAAAAGAAAGAAATACAAAAATAAAATTTGATTTTATAAATTATAATTTATGCATGACTGTAATGTGATGTACTTCTTAAATTACAAAAAAAGTGAATCGTGATTATTCGTTGCATTGCCTTTATGATTTAAAATAAAAACATGTACTAGGCTAATAATTATTGTTCAAATAGGCTTCATTTTATTTATGCATATTTATAGGGTTTTTATTTATTTTGGAGTGAAATGTGAAGTGTACAAGAGATTCAGTCTTCAAAAATAATAAAAATGACAGTACATTGTATGGGTCAAAATGATCGATTTTTCTTTTATGCCGAAAATCATTAGGATATTAAGTAAAGATCATGTTCCATAAAGATATTTTGTAAATTTCCTACTGTAAATATCAAAAATAAATTTTTGATTAGTAATATGCATTGCTATGAACTTCATTTGGACCAATTTAAAGGCGATTTTCTCAATATTTTGAATTTTTTGCACCCTCAGATTCCAGATTTTCAAATAATTGTATCTTTTTTTTTTTTTTGCACCCTCAGATTCCAGATTTTCAAATAATTGTATCTTGGTCAAATATTGTCCTATCCTAACGAACCATACATCAATGGAAAGCAATTTTATTTTTCCAAAATTGACCCTTATGACTGGTTTCGTGGTCCAGGGTCACATATTATCTATAAATTACATTTTAAAATATATTCAAATAGAAAACAGTTATTTGAAATAGCCTAGTAAAAATATCAATATAAAGACACGTCCCCCGCGTAATCTACGCCCCTGATCTCAGGTCAAGCACAGGCCATCGCCAAAGAGTCAGCATTCAGTTCCTGCCACCATGCTGGCCTACTCTGAATTCTTTTGAAGACCTGATGTCCTTGTTTTTAAATACCTAAACTGGATACTGTGTCAGTGGCCTGCATTTCATGTTACTTAGCCGCCAGCACTTGAATCAACCTATTCAGCAAGACTGGGTCACTCGTTCAATGTGTTTTACTGAAAGGTTATACTTGCCGATGTGGCAGAGGAAACTGTCTGTCGCAGGTGTGAAAGTACTATGTAAGAAACAACTGATATGGACTGCTTCTATCATCATGTAGTAGCCTACTCAAGACATGCTCCTTAAAATAGCAGCACAAGCACCTCAACTTCAGAAATGCATGGTTGGCAGTTGATTTACTGTACCTAAAAGGTAGCCAACTAGAGTACAATTGTTTACTAGTATGAAAATTTACACCTACTACATGCAGAGATAGGGGGCCTCATTTATAAAATGTTGTGCAGAAACCATCCAAAAATTGATCGTACGAGCATCTCTCAAAAATGCATATGGGTGATTCATAAAATGAACGTACGTACAGAAAACACACGTAAGCGTCTCTTTCAGATGTGAAATCTATGAATCGCAAATGATCTTGAACTTGCGCGCAAATGGATGGTTTCAGCTCTCTGTCTTGTAAACGACTCCTAATTAATGTCATTAACATGTAAAAGATCACCAGTCATCATCCAAATTCTTTCATTTAGAACAGTAAGCTGCAAGAACAGCTTACATTTTCAAAAACCTGCAGTACTCGAACAAGAAAAAGTGCATACGTCTGCTCAGACCCTTACGTGACGCTAAGCACTTTTCCACGTCAAAGCCAGTTTTCACAAATATGAGCATTGGCATGGATTTAAGCGTACGCACACTGTAAGATCACATCTGAGCGTACACACGCTTTATAAATGAGGCCCAGGATGTTTTTACATTTGTCAGGAGTTACTAATGGTCAGAATATCAACCTAAGATAATGGACATCAATAAAGCTTTTTTCTTTAAATATCTTTCATCATGTGAATTATTTCTGCAAGTTAAAGTGAAATGGTGGTACGACATGCATAAGGTCAGATTGTTGACCATATAGATGAACAAGTCTGTAGAAATGGTAGACAGGGCCTTAACCACCATAGACTCTTCAATTATTCAGAATAGTTGTATTTTTCAATATTTCCTTATTTCCAATTTTTAATATTTCACTACATACTTTTTATTTGTGATAAACAGAGTGCAATTTTAATATGTGCTTTGAAAAATAGGTTCACAAAAATGTATTTATTTGTTTTAAATCTTACTGTTTGGAGTACTAACTGCATAAAATAGTATTTGTTGACTTGAAGTTATGCTTGATTTTCATTCCCAGTTAAAAGGAAAAGCATGAGAATCACCGCATGGCACAAGAGACGTATCATTTACTGGCACTGTCAATCCCTCGCACACCCTGTATTGTAGTACTCAGACAGCGCTGACTTCCGTTTTCATTTTTTCTTCGAACACTTTCATGTTTTGACACGTTCAGGCTGTGCAGGTGTAGCCCTTCCCTCTCCTCGTGGGCTCTTTGTGGGTTTCTTTAGGAAGGAAACTGTCTCATGTGGTATAGCAATAATAACTGAGAATTTAAGAGAAATATATTTTAAAAAATCTAATCAAAACATATAATGTATTTACCCTATGTAATATATTTTTTAAAACAATTTTCTAACAAAATAAATATATGTATATAGGCTACCTAAAATTAGCTAAAAATACTTTTTTATTTAATTTTATCAACTAAATTAATCTTGTTTAAAATGTTTTTTAAAAGCTGTGTGTTTCTTTTTACTCTTTCTGATGCTCGTCTTTGCTTATTTGCTAGTTATTTGTGTCTCCTCCTCACTATTTTTAACTAAATTCAACCAGTTGCACAGCAGTACGCTGCTATAATTAGAACAATAAACGTGCGAATTGTTTGCGTCAATGGAATCCCGTGTGTGCGTCATGTCTTTTGACTGCGAGCGCTCTGATTGGTCGGCAGCCGGAAAGATTTGCCGAGGATCTCCGCCCCTGCATGGCCATATTTGCCAGTGGAACGCCTCGAGAGGATGCACCTTTGACGTAACGGCACAATAAAGTAGTCGCTATATATCTGCTCGCTCACAGAAATTTTAGAAAACCGTCTTGTCGTGGCAGGGGACGTTTATACATGGTTATCCATCACTTGGAATACGGACATTTATAGGTCCCTCACCACAACACATTTTCAGGTACGTAAATATTTTTGCTTTTAAAATGTGGAAGTCAGTGAACACTCTTTTCTTTCTGTTTTATGCTTCTTTTAAATAGCATACGAACAGCAGATGAGTTCGCAGTTATTCAAAGTAGGTGTGCGTGTTTATAAATGGAAACCGTTTTCATTTTGAGATATTGCTGATTTTATGTATTTTGTGTCCTTTAGTACTATTCTGTATTCTTTACTACGTGGAGCGCGCGAGTTATTCAGAAACAAACAGCCTTGCGCGTATGTAGATCGAGTTGAATGCACAGAATGAGTTGGCTTCTGGAATTTAAAATGTAAAAAGACTTGAATGTCAGACGATAAGAACTTTTAGAATAGACTGAGAGGGTGTGTGTATGTTACAGTGAGTGGTGCGCTTCTGCACGCTTCTGCAACAGGTGCTCGCGCAACAGCCAACTACTTATCTGCATACACTCTCCTTTTAAACCTGACTGTACTTAGGCTATTTGTATGATACATTAATATATTAAACGGTTCATATAGGTAAAATACAAATAATGATTTAAAACGAGAAAGGAAAAATGTAATTTTAAACAAGTTCTAAGAAACGATATCATCGTATCCATATATAAAAACGTTAATTTACTACACATTTTGATTTACTCTAGAAATGTCAAGTGGTGTAGCCTTTAGTGTACACACACAAACGATGTGAAAAAATAATAACAGTGATGACCTTGACACTCAGGGTCTGAAGGAGGTTCTGTCTGCTTATTTGTTTAACTTTTATTATTATTATTATTTTGTAAACAAAATGACTTGGCTTCCTGCATGTTAGTTATCCTACACTGACTGTTTTTTCACAATATGAATAATATTCTAAAACAAAATTGCTTTAGTGATTATTTTCAAACAAATAATTATAAAAGGTTATGCTAAACTACTTATGCCCAGCATTTCTTTTTTAAATGAAGCTTTTTTAACAATTGTTAGACAGTTACACCACCTAGACATTTTTGACTTTAAGAAACATATCTAATGCTAATGCACTGACTTGTGTATTAGTCAACATATTGAGACAATGAAATGTTTAGGGGTCAAATGATCATCAGGTGCCATGTTCCAATGGGTGCAAGGTCATGAATGTCTGTCAAACTGCTGAGCCATAATTATCTTATGCGTTTACCAAGCTCATTAAAGTACTTTCTGCAGAATTACTCTTTTAAAACAAGTTGATAGTGCCACTTTTTCCAAATATTTCCATTGCTGGTCTAAAGATTGAATCCATGTGGTTAGAATGTAGTATGAATGAATGTAAGCACTTTTTCACTGCCTGCAGTTTTTTTTTCTTTTCTTAATTTATCTTTACCTTATGGAACACTATGTCTGAGTTTGCAGGGGAAATTTGAGTCTATCTTAAAAAAGTTCCATATACATACACCGCCCACTCACACTCACAAACATAAACACCCTCTCAGTGAGGCAACCCACGTGTCATGTTCGTCTGACGTCCTTAATGTGGTAACACAATAAGCATGGCTGCCCTTTCCAGCCAGACGGCTCTCTAAGTTTTCTCAGAAATCTCAAAAGGCACTTCAGAGAACTGTGTCTATACAGACTCGTTGGTCGTCGAGTAAGTCTATCTAGGAATAGGTCAGGATGCATTATTCAACTCTTCAGGCGTTTGACGTTTCAGCAGCAATATCTACGGTATTGAAAAGTAGATGTTGTGGTTCTGTTCTACAGAAATGACCTGTGTTCAAAGTCAACATGGAGTCCAGACCTATGAGAGCTCCCTCTTCAGCTCAGAGTTTTTGAATCCTGACTTCACCTCCAGGTTGGCCATGGATGTGACTGACCAGCGGGACCAGCTCTCCGCACCCTCCCTACCCAGCATCACCTCTCTGGTCGGAGGCTACGTTGGGGAGTTTGATACCTACTCATGCCAGATCGCCACAGGTGCTGCTTCTTCCTGTCCGGGCGGCACCTCCAGGCAGGACTTGTTCAAGCTGGACGACCTCCAGGTGTACGGCTGTTACCCAGGCACGTTCGCTTTTAGCTACCTAGACGAGACGTTGTCCTCTCCAGGTGGGTCAAACTGCTTTGGAAGTCCAGCATCTGTGCCCTCACCCTCTACCCCGGGATTCCAGCCCATGTCTGCCTGGGACAACACCTTTGGTCCCTGCTCCCCCGATGAGGGCTGCTGGGGTTCAGAGAAGCCTCTGAACCAGGCCGCCACTTTCTTCACGTTTGGACACGACGAGCTTTCTCCTTTGGGACAGCTGCAGCCACAACTCCCAGATCAGGATCCCTTCTCCCAGTCCCAGCAACACGGTTCTCCACTTCCCTTCAGCCTGGAGCAGGGCAGTCGGGATGGCTCAGGACTGATGGACAGACACCTGTCTCCTAAAGTAAGGAGCCCCACAGGAAACGAAGGGCGCTGTGCAGTGTGTGGAGACAACGCTTCCTGTCAGCATTATGGGGTGCGCACTTGTGAAGGATGTAAAGGCTTTTTCAAGGTGAGAGAGCGTGAGCGTACTGTACTTGTCTTGCTGATAAATTATTATACGTTTGAATCATGTCATGTTATGTCAACTCGTCTCAGAATTTTGGATTTGGGAAATCAGGCTTATTTCACTGACTAGGTTTCCTTTTTGATTTTGTAGCGCACAGTACAGAAAAACGCCAAGTATGTTTGCCTCGCCAACAAAGATTGCCCAGTGGACAAAAGGCGGCGAAACAGGTGCCAGTTCTGCCGCTTCCAAAAGTGCCTAGCTGTGGGGATGGTGAAAGAAGGTGAGACTTAAAAATATTATATTAATAAATAAAAAAACAATTAATTCAAAATACATAAAGAATTTAAAATACCCACATACCCTCAAAGCAGTTTTAATAAATGTACCTATTGTGACTCTGTGTAGTTGTGAGAACAGACAGCCTGAAAGGTAGAAGAGGTCGTCTGCCATCCAAGCCAAAAGTTGCTCAGGACTCACTGTCGGTGTCTTCGCCTGTAAACATCATCGCCTCTCTCGTCACTGCCCATATTGACTCAAACCCTGCCAGTGGAAATCTGGACTATTCAAAGGTGAGGAAAGACCACACTTCACAACAATCTGTCAGCAAAAATTAAAGCTATAGTGCTGTTTTAATAGTATTGTCAATTAATATATTGTATTTTTGGTCATTGTGTAGTATCAGGAATCGGTATCCGGATTGTCTGAGAAGGAGGATGCCAACGACATACAGCAGTTTTATGACCTGCTAACAGGGTCAATGGATGTGATCAGGAAGTGGGCTGGAAACATCCCTGGATTCAGTGCCTTCTGTAAGGAGGACCAAGACCTTCTTCTGGAGTCAGCATTTGTTGAGCTCTTCATACTTCGGCTAGCTTACAGGTACATGTCAGTTCATATGACACTGAATTTAGCATTATAGAAGTACTATTTGGGGTAACTAAGCATCTATTTATCTCTTTACATTTAGGTCAAACCCTGAGACAGACAAACTTATTTTCTGCAACGGTGTGGTTCTGCACCGGACGCAGTGCGTACGAAGTTTTGGCGACTGGATTGACTCCATTATGGAGTTTTCTCAGAGTTTACACCGCTTGAAATTGGATGTATCGTCTTTCTCCTGTCTTGCCACACTGGTCATAATCACAGGTAAATTACTTTGTTCTACACAGACTACAGAAATGTAATGTTTTATCCCAAACAGATCTCTAACCTTCACTTGTGACCAACAGATCGACACGGTTTGAAAGAACCCAAACGGATCGAAGACCTCCAAAACCACCTGATCACGTGTCTCAGAGATCACGTCTCCACAAGTACCCCTGAGGCCACCCGGCCCAACTACCTGTCCCGACTCCTGGGCAAACTTCCAGAGCTGAGAACACTGTGCACCCAGGGCCTCCAGCGAATCTTCTATCTTAAACTGGAAGACTTGGTCCCACCTCCACCCATTGTGGATAAAATCTTCATGGACACGTTGCCATTCTGAAGAGGCTTTATAAATGGACAACTGGAGTGACTTAAACAGATAAAAGAGATGGAGCTCTTAAGGGTTTGACTAGTCAAAGGACTTTATTGCTTACTGTTCTCTGCTTTCTTGGAATGGAATCAGAGAACGATTACATTCTACTTACGCCTGCGTTTGGAGATCACATAGTCTTCAACATTGAACTCTCTAAGAGACATATAACGAGAATTATTCATTTGGTTGAACTTGTTGGTAACTCTAAACAGACATGGAGTTTCAAATCTTAGTATACTTTAGCTGAAATGGTGGCTTCAGTCAGTAGCATGTCAGGTCAGTGTTGCAAAACAAGAAGCTCAAATGCTCTACATGTGACTTCTAGATGAAAGAAGTCCCATCAGTATTACAGCTATGTTCAGATGGCATATTCCACATAGACAGCATCCAAGAATCCAGTAAAACATCTCCAACTTCATGTTAGAAATGCCATGGACCAAAACAGGGAGTACAAACAGCATTTACTTGGATGCTTAAATTATCATACAAAGCCTTAAATACGCTGAAGTCTCCCTTAAACATGCTCCAAAACATGCTTACACTGAAAACAGAGATTTACTGTGTTTGAGTACAGGACTGATTTGAGTGCATTGGAGGACTGTGGTACACTTGTCTAATGTTTCAGATCCAGTGACACTAGAAACTTTAGTGTATTTTAAGAGTCAGTAGTTTATATAAAAGATTAAAAAGTCACGGGAGATCCAGTGCAGCTACTGTACATGTACCATGTACAGCCTCTTACATGCAAATACTTTAAGTATTATTACAGACGCCTGACTTAGTTTAGTGTACCAGTCAAACCTTAGAGTAATTATATTTGTATGTATGTATTTTAAAGATGTATAGGTATGACTAGAGCTTCTGCAGACTGTAACTTTTCTCATAATGACAAAATCAAGATCGGGCATTCTGAAATTTTTATTTTTTACATAAAATGAGAGGGTATTGCTTATCTTTCATTGATTTTGTGCAGCTCTCTAAATAAATTTGGAACAGAAATCATCTTGGGTGCTATGAAACATTTCTTTACATCATTTAGTTTATCGATAAAGAGGCTATAGCAAGATCTGCATGGCTTTTCTTTCATTTAAAAAAAAAAAACGCGGTTAAAGGGTGGTTTCTGTCATCATTTGCTCACCATTCCAAACCTGTGTTTTTCTTTCTTCTTTGAAACATAAAAAAGTGTTAAGCACTTCTAGCTTGTATCCTGTGGGCCTCATTTATAAAATGTTGCATAACATTCTACATGCGTACATGTGATTCTGAGAAATGAAAATTTGCACAAAAAATGTGCATATGACTCTCATCCAGATGAGTCATCTATAAATCACAAATGATCTTGAAATTGTGTGCAGCTGAATGGTGTCAGATCTCTGCCCTGTAAATGCCCCCTAATTAATGTCATCTGCATAGAAACAAGCACCAGTCAATGTCCAAATCCTTTACTTGAGAACGCCAAGCGGCATGAATTGCTTTAGATTTCCAAATACCTGCAGTACTCAACTCTGCCACAAGGAAATCATGTACGCCCACTTAGAATCTGATCTGGCGCGAAGCAATAGAGATTATAAAGAGTTTTTAGAAATCTTAACGTTGGCGTGGAATGGATTTTAGCACACTCTTAAATTAAATCTGTGCATATGCACGTTTTATGAATGAGGCGTCTGCTGAAGCCATATAAATGATTTTTTTCTGAGACAAATTGGTTAATATATGTTGTGTTAACTCCTGTGACAGTATTGAGTCAGTGAATCCAATTTGTCAACAATTCATCCAGACCGGTTTTGTGAACTAGATTACAATATCTAATTCAAAAGAGTCATTTATGAATCACGCATGCTAATGAACATGCCAAAGAAAGCTAGGGCTTAAAATAGAACACAGTCATAAAGATAACGTTTATGACAATTTTATGGTTCTTTTTATTTTTTTGTCATTGTGGAGCTCCAGTCTTCATTCACTTTCATTATACTGCAAAGAGTGGGCAAAAATTAACCTTAAGTAAAAAAAAAAAAAAGAAGAAAGTACAAATTTGGAATGACGTGGAAGAGGAAGAGATTCTGCCCTATCCATTTATCGTATAGCTCAAGTATTGATTTGTTTCTTTACTATATAGAGTTTCAACATTGCTTTCATAGAGTAATCATGATATCATCTGGTTACTGCACTGCGATGAGCTTTCCCTTTCTTGAAGGAAGTTGTGGTTTTGAACATTCTCCATATGGACAGTTAGCTGGCTAATCTGTGTCAAGCGAATGATTCAGATCTGAACTTGATGTCACATCAGTTTGACGTGGTTCTTGAACTATATTTAGATCTCTTTCTTTTTTACTATCAGGCCATTTTCAATCAGATTATCACATACGTCATTATATTGCTTTATGAGGCTATACAATAGCAGTGAAATTACCACTGCTCATATTTAGACTAAGGGATTTCAACATACCCCTGACTATGAGGTGGGGTAAAAGTGTGTCAATTATACAATTAGTTAAATTATATGAAAGAAATTGGTTTTATTGGTGAATAAACGTGGTTATTATTTAAAACACGTTCAGTTTGTTAGTACTACAGAAATAGCCTAGAAAATAGTACAGTAAAAAAGCACTATGAACATCTCAGCAACCATACAGCAACTCCCTGTAAACCCTCATTAATGTAATGATGAAAACGAACAGACTACTAGCCAATTTGCGGTTTGTCTAAAGGTATCGGTAGCTCATTGGAGTGTGTGTAAATCATCTCATCAGATTTCATTCAGCTAAATTCATCACAACATTGTAGGACATTGTAGGTACAGAAGCTTCATCACCTGACTGCGTCCCATTCTAAAATACAGGGTTTATGAGTCACAGGTACCCCTGCAGACCCATCTTACTACTATCATGATACCTCGCACCAGACTACCTTGGAACATGGAGAGCCTTTTTGTCCCAAAGGGGTATTTCTAAATAATTTTGTGCGGTAGCTTCAAAACCCTGAGTCTGCTGGCTGTCAGTCACGCTACACACCACAAGGCCTGCAGGGTGTCACATATCCTCCTCCCCCGAAGAGAACACCAAATTCTATGGCCTAATTTTGGGCCACTGTAATTTGCTCTGACACCTCCTGTGCCTGCCAAGGTATGCGACCGATGATACCACCAAGGAAAGTACAACTGAGCAGACAGAGTAAGTGCCAGGGACTGCCTGTGACACCTTCCTCCAGCGCTCCAGACCAGCAGATGCATTTTGGGGCTTAAATTGAAAAGGATCCTCAACATCAGTGACCCTGGGCAGAAATGTTATGTAATATCCCAGGCCATTCTAAATTTAACTATATAATACATAATACCTGGGCGGTGGCAATGAAATTGGCCCGAAAGTGGCTTACAGTTTGCCTCATGAGGGGAGTCATTATAGAAAAGGGATATCCCAAGAAACAATGAGTTTTCTGAGAGCGGGCCAGTGCAGCACCTTATATTTTGTATTCATTTGCATAGTTTGTCGTTAAAACTCCCTTCTTCGCTGAATTTCATGTCTGTTAATAAACAGCTTACTTAGAGTATTCACGTTTATATTTTAGTAAATAATTTGCACAGCTCTTGTGGGCACCTTGCACAGACAGTGAGAAGAAAGAGGAAACCCTGTGGTAAATACATTTAGCTCATCATTGTGTCCTGTAACTCAATCTGCTCCCTTGTCAATTTGACAATGACAGATGAGAGGGGAAGAGCCACATTTTCCTGGCTTATGTAGTATTATGAACTGAGTTCATTCAAAATCAAGACCTATAAACTGCAGACAGACAGACAGATAGACAGACAGATAGATAGATAGATAGATAGACAGACAGACAGACAGACAGGGTAAGGTAAGGTATGGTGTTCTAGATTATTGCTAGGGCGTTGCTAGGCTGTTTTTGATGGTTGCTACGTGGTTGCTAGAGATACATTTTAACTGTTATAACTTGTCTGGCAAGCCTATAGGAACATCTGAAGGACATGGCAGCACTCTAATAAAAAATACCAGAGCTCATCCACAAGACGTAATTGGATAAAGTCATTATCACTCCGATTACAGCAGTTATGTGGGCAAGGCCAGGGACAACATACAAAAATATCCACAGTTTCCATGTTCGGATTACTCTGGTAAAGACAGCTTTTCGGTGCAAAATCAAAACAAGGTGTCGAAAAGCACATTGCCATGGTGACAATTACACAAGACTGGTCCACCTCCAAAAAATAAAGTTATTATATAAGCCTCCACCAGCCTCCTGGTCACCAACAGTCTTGAGAACATGAGAATACTGGGATATAAAACGACCAACAGGGAGGCTCAAGTTTCGATGAGGAGCTGCAAGTTTTGGATAAGAGCCCAGAGGTTGTTCTGAGTTCTTCCACACTCCAAGAACAAAATGCACAAAATGAACACATGCAGGACCCTCATAACCAGATACTAACCATGTAACAGGTGTGTATATATAAAGTCATCGACAGCCTTTCAATTTTTGAGCCTCACTGCTTTGGTGCAAGTAAATTCTGACAAATCATCCAAAGACACTGCATGCAAACATCTTCTCAAATCCTTCTTCCGGATTTAGCCTTAAACATGCATTAGCAACTTTGTATTATTTGTAATATAATTCTGTCAGCCTGCAGTCTTGCTCACTCTGGGACAGACAGCAGGGCTATTTTTATAAACTGTGAGCCCATGTAGATTCAGTGAAAGAGTTGACAAAGTGTTGTTGACGGCTTGTCATGCTCTAAACAGGTGCAGCAGCATATGATCGATAGTGAGTGGAGCATAAAGCGGAGGGAACATTTACTGTACACACTGAACTCATGACTCAATGCGAACATGCTAAACCAATCCAGATTGGGCATCATGTGGTCTATCATTCAGTGTGAAAATGTGTCATGTTTCATCTATGATAATATGGCTTTAGTTGTAAATTAGGGGTGTTGAGAGGGCGAGGGACAGAGACTGAATGCTAATACTGGAGGAAGATAGGAGAGATGGATAATAGATAAAGATAGATGGATGTTGTATGACTCAAGAATCTTTAGTTATTTCCATCCAGCACTTGTTTCAATTCAACACTCAATCGTTCCATTTGAATGAATGCTTGGACGGATAATAAAAGAAATCACAGAACAGCTCCCGGACATGAGCCTTCCCACTCAACAGAGAAAGCCTTATCCCCGGGAATAATCACACAAATTCTTGATTCCTAACACCACATTTTAGCTCTGTTACAAGTCTACACTCAGTTAATTCTTCTGCCTGAAATTTGAGAAAATTCTAAGGAAAAGCATCAAATGGTTCTGCAAAATGTTGTAATGTGATCTCAATTTGGAGATGGAGCATATCAAATCTGCCCCAAAAAAAGTTAATCATTTTTAATCTGAAAAAAAAAAAAAAAAAAAAGGCCTAAGTGTGACAAAAAAATCCCCCTACATGTGACATTAAACAATAATAATAATTATTAAAAATTTTAATTTGTACCGTTTATTTTTATTTCCTGATTTTGATAACAATAACAAAGATTAACAAGTAATGAGAAATAATTACACAGAACAAATGTAATGAAATTAAATACTAGTTAAAAAATAAACATTAATAAATAATCATCTAAAATAATAAGAATAATAAACTGAACTTGGACAATTGTGTCAATGTAATCTGACATTAAAAACATTATGGAAATTGAGAATAAATAATTTTTAGTGTACATCTTAAGGAAAATGTAATTCCTAGTATTGGTAATGGCAAAAGTAATGGTGCCTATGGAAGACAAAAATAAATGGATACAACAAGACTCGGCACAAATTATAATAAAAAAAATGTATTAATTAAATAATAAATAATCATCTGCATTATTAAGAAAAATAAGTATATTAAACCGAGCTTGGACAAGCATGTGTTGATGTATTCTGATATCAAGAAATTCACAAAAGTTATTTTTAACTATATTGAGCTCCTGTATCTTATTAAAGAAAATTGCATTCCTTAGGATATGACGCCTTAAATGCAAAACAAAAATAAATGGAAATATTAACGCTCAGCTAGTCACGTAGGGACTCCCTCTTAGAACGGCATGACCCACGGGGAATGCTTCAATATGTGCAGTGAGGCCTGTTCACCCAGCAACTGCACTGCATTACAACACAGCGGTTAGAAAACCAGCTTTACCACGAGACACAGTGAGTACAGACAGGAATGTCGCACATTTCAACTGATATATAGTAAAAATTTCTCTGTTTGTATTAACATGCGCCATTTCACACAATTCACATGTTTTGTCAACTACAATAGGCAGGATCCTACTATGAAACTGGCTGAGCAGGTTTATTATTTTACAGAATGAATGCAAATGAATGAGTAAAACAACTATGCCAACCGTTCTGCTGTAAATAAAGTAGAATCTGACATTAACTGCAGTGTTTCCACTTTTTTTAAATTAGAAAAAAATAATTTGCTTTCTCCTTCCAACTTTTTCCATTTATGCATGCAATTTTAGATTTGATATGTTACACAAACATGAAAGCACATTCTAACCTGCTAATACACACACTCTCTCTCTAATTCTCCCGCACACTACAGGCGTAGATTCCTCTCAGTGTACACGTTGTTCCCCAGAGGAATTATATTTTGGCCTTTCAGAAGGGTGTCGTGGGTGGGGATTGCCGGTCCCTAACATTAGCCTTGAGTTTAAAAATAACCTCTCATCACATGAAATCAATAACGGCACTTAGATGTGACTCAGTGCGTGTTCGCGAAGTCAGGCCCCTCTGGGATTATCACACTACTTGGCAAGTGTAAGTGACACCATCACTCTCACCTGGACCTGAGGAAAATCCTGCGCCACGGTAAAACGGAAACAAGATGCTAACAACATGGTGGTGACTAATTTACCAGCTACCGATATTCCAGTTATCTGCTTTAAACATGCTGCAGCATATAATTTCCCCCCTTTTTCAACAGCATAAATTACCCTCATCTGGTTTATGACAATCTCAGTATAGTCTGATAAAGAATGTATAACCAATATGAGCTTGATTTTGTCACATTTCATAAGAATAATTTTAGACCAGATTAAATAAATTAATAATTAAATTAAAATACAAATAGTATTATTACAAATAGTATTATTTTAGTATTTGTTATAGTAAAATACAAATAGTATAGTTAAAAAAATTCTAATAATAAAAACTTAATTAAAAAAATAATTATTTTAGGTGAAAAGCAATAAATATAATAATAATAAAGCAGCCAAGCATGATCAATATTTGCACTACCAGCCCATCTGTAACGCCGCTAACATGTTCAAGAGGAGTAATATTAACAGTGAAAAGTTCCAGTGCTGCTGGACTGTAATATCAGTTCTCTTGGAATGGCCCTTGGCCAATCAATTTAAGGGATAGGAATTAGCTGTTGTATAATATTAATTAGATAATGTTAAAAGGTTGTCATGCATCTGCAAAGATCATCAGCCTGTCCTTAGAGAGTAATCATAAACCAGCAATTACATATGTGTTCTAAAAAGCAAAAGGTTGAAGGTGCATCTCTGAGCACTCTTAGCATGAGGATCTGCACCATCTACAGATGAATGGCTGATGAAAGCTATTTACTCATTCAGAATTAAAGCATTTTAACTAATAACTTAACTCAAATAACTTAACTTTCTGTAAGACTAAGAAGAACTATACATATACACAGGCTGTGATGAACTTCAGATAAGTGTGATCATGTGTTTCATTGTAAAATGGAGAGATACAATTCTTTATGTCATTTGATGTTTTTCATCAAGAATGCAGAGCAAAAAGTGTGCACTTGAAAATTACTTTTGAGCATAAATTTGTGCTTGGCATTAAAAAAAACGTTATGCAACTGAGGATGTAAAAAAGCAATATAACATTTAAAAAAACTGAATTGGGAATATGTTTTTTTAATTTTTTTTATGTGTAATGGTACAAAAAACCCCGCCTAGGTACGCCAGCTACACTGGTAAAGCAGGGTAATACTGCCACCAAGCGTTCCGAGGTAGAGCTACACCAAGTTATTCGAATCACTACATAAATTGCGGGGTGTTTTTTTCCACTATTGGCCATTTTGGCTATTTATAAAGATATATGTGGGTATTTATAAATTAAACATCCCTTAAAACTCACTTTTTACGCTCATTCGTTTACTTAATCTGTTATTACAATTTTCGACAGCATATTTTGCAGATTTGCAACTGAAACTCTAAACCGAATCCAGAGAAGTCATTTTTACCACGTCTCAAAACACTATGATGGAAATTATGGTGGTGGAAATTATATTTTAGTCGTTTTTGGAACAAAGTGGCCGACCCACTTACCTTGCTAAGGCAAATTTTATAGCTAGCATTTTATTTAGAAAAACAATATTTCACACTTCTAAACTTGATTTGAAAAGGCACACGATAAAAAAGAATATATATATATTTTGTTTAAGTGACATTTACCTTGATTTATATTGAATTTACTTCACATTTTAACTCCGGGATGCTCAACTCTGACATACACGGTTTCTCCTTGGTAACGAAGTAGCCTACACTAACTTTTAAAAAAGAAAAGAAGGAAGAAAACCCTTCGTGCTTACTGAATTTTGTTTGAAAAAGCTGTCAAAACAGGTACATAGGCTACTTGTAAGACATCCCCTCCCTCAAACGCCCCATGGTCACCGAGTTCAGAAGAAAGTGTGTGCGTCGCCGCGCCTCTTAGCGCGCGCTCCAAGGCACACTAAAATAACGGAGTGCGTTTTTCCAGACATCACTGAGACTGCTGCAGAGATGCTTGGATGATGTACTCCATCATGTGTAACACATAAACCAGACTATATGCCACAAACCGACGCTTCGACGACTGTTTTTTGACTTTTAAACTATATCCATGGAAACGCACAAGTGACCTTGGCAAACCCAGGACCCTTTGGAAGTTTTAAAACATCAATACGCGTTACACACGCCACAGAAAACATGAATGTTTCACACGGACTACTGAACCGGACGATATCTACAGCGAAGCAACCGTTGGAAAGCGTTCGAGGATGCTGCAGTAACTTCTCGGTGATCACGAGCGACGGGTTCGGTTCACCGATTCAGGACGAGCGCGATCAGTTCATCATGCGTTTGGTGCAGATCGCGGTTCTCTGTGTGCTGTCACTGACGGTCATTTTCGGCATATTTTTCCTCGGGTGCAATCTACTCATCAAGTCCGAGAGTATTATAAATCTGCTGGTGGAGGACAGAAGACCTTCCAAAGATGCGGATATTATTATGATAGCGGCATGAGTCGTGCCATAAACCTGACACGAACTGGCAATCTGTCATGAACGACACCTGTTGGTATGATTCTCATGCCAATGATGAACTAAATGTATTTTTATATATTTCATCTGGGACCAGAACCTGTTAATGTCGCAATGGAGACTGAACAATGCATTCAACTTTTTTTTAAAACCCAGAAATGTGTGGTGATGATTATTTGTCTACATCTTCTTTCAAAACACATCTTCATGAAGACACCTGAAACAACAAGAGCAGAGAAAGATAACTGGACAAATGCATTAATCCAGGACAGATCATTTGAAATTAAGAATTTGTCATTTGTTTTGTATTTATATTGGCTGAATTGATTCATGTGACTCGTTGAAATGATTCAAGAATTTCTTAATGTGTTTGTGTAAAGTTTGTGTTAACTTGCATGCAAAATGGATTAAAAGGATATAGAGAACTCTAAAAACACTGTTCCATTTTAGTTTCGACCTAGATGACACTTTAGAGTTTTAGGTTCAAAATGGTGATGATTATTTGTCTACATCTTCTTTCAAAACACATCTTCATGAAGACACCTGAAACAACAAGAGCAGAGAAAGATAACTGGACAAATGCATTAATCCAGGACAGATCATTTGAAATTAAGAATTTGTCATTTGTTTTGTATTTATATTGGCTGAATTGATTCATGTGACTTGTTGAAATGATTCAAGAATTTCTTAATGTGTTTGTGTTTGTGTAAAGTTTGTGTTAACTTGCATGCAAAATGGATTAAAAGGATATAGAGAACTCTAAAAACACTGTTCCATTTTAGTTTCAACCTAGATGACATTTTAGAGTTTTTCAAAGGTTCAAAACATGACAATCCGGTTACAGGATCCACCATCCATCACATTTCACATTCTTAATACATACATAAATGATTGTGTTCTGTTATATCAATCACAAAAATCAGATACATGACTACTCAACCTCTGCAGGTCAGTTGCAAAGGTCCAGCGTCTTCAGTAGAGGAAAAACCGTGAATCAAGTTCTACAAAAAAAAAAAATTAATTAAAAAAAGAAAAGGACAACAAATGAATTTAATTTCCATTTATCACATGACCTTTTTCACATGGAAGCACATTAGTTCATCTTTTCCTTCTTAGGTATCTTGGCAGCTGCATTACACCCGCAGTGCAGATCACTTACAGCTAAGCTTTGGTGGACTATTAAATATCTCCACAAATATACAATTATTAAACTACTTTTCATATTTGGTAGAAAAGGCCATCAAACGTTTTAATTCTGTTAACAGCTCATGTCCTTGGAAGCTTAAGACAGATGGTTGATGTTAACATTTTAAACTGCAACAATATGTTTTTCCACCAACAAGCAGCTAAAAAGCTTAGAATGACTCAAAATATGTCAGCTTTTAATTTGATATTCTGCTGACTCACCAGCTGCCTTTCCACATGAGCTTTAGCCTGAGGAGAATATAACAAGTGGCGCATTTTATTTATAGACAGTATTTTTGAACCACAAATATTGTGGTGAATGAACTGTATAATTATGACTAGCATGGCAAACTATAACATTATGTAACTTAACCTGCAGTCCTTAGTTTCTTAATTCCATTTTAATTCCAACAAACTATTATGCAAAAGATTGGACTTAATTTTATTTGCAAACAGCATCTCATGTCAGTGTTCATAAACCAAAACCTGAGGGTAACATTACAGAGATGTTGCATAATTTTCTAAAATCAGTTGGATAATACCTTGTCCCCTATATTTGTACACACACTGCTGTATACAAGAATGACATCATAAGAACACGGTCAAAGCCATTCACTGTATAATACATGTGACTGCTGAAAACGTGCCCAAGACGTTACTATATTCAGTGCCTTAAAACAGATGGTGCTGAAATAAATGCAACGGAGAATAGGGAACCATAATCCAAATTAGATATTAAGGCTGCATGCTATATCACTGACCCCAACCCTAGGACATTCAGCTCACCAGACCCCACCCGCACACATGTAACCGCCCACTGCTGCTTTTTTTATTTATTTATTTTTTTTTTTAAATCACAGTCATTTTTATGAAGCTTGTAATGCACTGCTTTACCATACATATGCTGGTTTCTTATACTATAAACAGCATAATCTTAAATTTGTTCAGTTTTTGATTGATAAATAGGCTATGATAAGGCTCAGGTGGAATCCTTTTCTAAATAAATTCATATTTTATTCAGTAAAGATGAATCAAATGTGATAGTAAAGACATTTATAATGTTACAAAAAATATTTCAAATAAATGCTGTTCTTTTGAACTTTCTGTCCATCAAAGAATCCTGAAAAAAATAGATTCATGCACAAATTTATTAAGCAGCTCAACTGTTTTTAAAATTATAACAATAAAAATAAATGTTTTTTGAGCACCAAATCAGCATATTAGTATGATTTCTGAAGGATCATGTGACACTGAAGACTGGAGTAATGATGCTTTGCCATAACAGGAATAAATTAAATTTTCAAATAATAAAAGAAATTACTGCTTTTACTGTATCAGTGTTTAGTATCATTGAGATACTAATATATATTTTTTTATATTTTCTGTTTGCATTTTAATTTTAGTCATTTTGTTATATATATATATATATATATATATATATATAGTTTTTATAAATTTTTATTTCACTTTTAGTTTCTTGCAAGTTTTATGGTTTTAGTTTACTATAATAGCCCTATACTGCATTTTGTTCAAATGAATGCAGTACATGTGTGTATAATATTGCAGATTCTCTTTGGGCCAGTCTAGGATGAATATGTATTATGGGTAGATATATTTATGCATCTGTTTTTATTCATCTGGTGTTTAAATATTTTAAGTATTTCAGGAGATAAAAGAGATTTTAAAAAAAAGTAAACTTTTTTCAGCCTGTGCAGTTAGACTCTGCCATCTATGCATATCTTATTTTTCTCCCTCAGAATATCATGATGACGGAACTAAAAAGAGAGAATCGTGCTATGGGTTCTCATGAATTTTCCCCAGAGAGCCACTGAATGATTGATGCAGTGATTGCTTTATATTTCTTCAGCCCTTCTTTAAAGATAGAGGGAGAGCGAGTGGTAGCATGGATGAAAGGAATGGAAGAAAAGGTCACTCCCGGTGGTAGTGGCTGTCAGACAGCGGTATGGTCCTGAGAAGTGACGTGGCATTACGAACTGACAGAGCTAGAGAAAGGCTATGGAACAGGGGAAATGTCAGAGTAAAAAGAGGGGGGAAAATGTGAGGCCTCTACAATACATGTTAGCACAGATGTGAACAGCATAAAAAAGGGTCTAGGTTGGATGCAACCACCTTAACCTGTTATGCAACAAGCCATTGTGTAAAGCTCAAAGAAGCAGAAATAATTTCAGATTTTTATAGTGATTCTTCAGCAGGACTCTTTGCACACAGGAAGTCACTCTACCACCTGTCACTGAGACTTGTACTGACAGAGAAGCATAATTATAACGATGCCCTAAACTACTTTGAGGTGAATCCAAAACCATTCACCATCTATGAAATCTCTTCCTTTTAGATCATATCTGACAGCTTTAACTCCCACAAGTAATCAGTATTTTTATTCATCGTTGACAGATGTTATACAAAATTAAGGGTCTGCCGAAAAGCCACGAGGGACACGGCCTAAAAAAAGATTCTCTGGAGACTAACTGCATGACTCGGGGAGTAAAACTTGCTGCGTTTAATCACACCGTCTCATAGCCTCAGTTACCCTCAACTGACAACTCAGCATGCAATATACAAAAATCCTTCATTCAGTGGAAAGTTCTTTGGAGAGACTGTGGCTTAATTAAACGTTTGCAAATGTGAAAGACTGAGTTTTGACAGTCACTCAGCTGTTAGCATTGGAAAAAAACAACATATATAGGCTAAAGATCTTTAAATAGACTTAAATTGAATGATGCTTTAGTATGGTATTAGTCATACACCCACAGATGCTTTAATAACTGATATGAGGCACCATGATGTCCAGACTTTTCTCATCCTTTTTAAGTCCCCCTGCTAATTCAGTTGCTATTGTTCTCTATCCCTCTGAATGCCTATCTCTGTTTTGCCTGCACAAATGCAAATGCTCTAATGTGCTCTCTGCCGTCCCATGAGCCTCAGACTTCAGCTCAGCATTTGGGAGTAACAGCTGCAATACCTTTCCATCACAGTCAGGACACTGCGACCCATCACTCCAGTGGTGTGTGAGGAACAGGAAGTGACAGACTGTTTTTTCCCCCCTTCCCTTCCTTTTTGTTCAGTCCAATGAGTCTAAATGTGATTGACAGCAAAAGGCATTTTAAGCCCTGCCACAGTACTGCAAAGCGAAAATGTTTGTACAGCGCACCAAATATTGCATAACTAGATTTCAATGAGAATTGACAGCTTGAGTCACTGGCTGCATATTACGCATTTTATTTTCTGATGAAAGGCTTGCTTTTGCATTGTAAATTATAAGATGACTTGTTCGTTTTCACTTCCAAAAACTACTACATTTAATTTCTTATAGTTTTTACCATATACGTATATAAGAGAAGTAGCAGATTTTTTAATCATAGCATTTTTTTATAGTGTTTTGGAGTTAAAATCAATCACTATTTTATAGTGTTCCATATGTGTGTGCGTGTGTGTGTGTGTGTGTGGGGGGGGGGGAGCATTTGTTACTTTTTTGTATATAAAAATAAAAACTTCTGTATGTGGAAAAAATTAAAACCTTTTTATCATCAAATTAATAATGAAAAATATTTAAAAATGCATTTTTAATTTAGATAAAGTACATTTACCTCTATATTTGGTGGAGGCCTAGGCTTTCAAGTCTACTTGTGGTGGTGAAAATTAAGATGTTTTCAAAAGAAATTCTCACAAATTTACCTGCATTATCTTGTCTAGCTACAAGATGAACATTGAAACAATATTACAATTGTGAGTTTGCGGTGTGATGCAAGAGACATGCAAGTAGCCATGGTGTTAGTTACCTGGAAGGGCTAAACGTCATAATTGCCCAAATCACAATCAAGTATTTCAGAAATCTGTTATAAACGACAAGAAAATAAAACAATCATGTTAAACGGTAATATAAGGCAAGTTCTCTGAGTCTTAAGGAACGGTGATGTAATCAAATTCATGCTGGTTGTCTACCCACTCACTCTGCATGACTGTGCTTCCCATGGGTTTCTGTCAGAAATGTCTTGCTGAACCTTTTCAAACATGCAGTCTCAAACTGCAGCGTGGCGAGTCCTGCTGAGCAGCTCTTTCACACAGTGCTTACGCAAATGGTGACCCAGACAGTGCGGAAACCTCAACCTAAGCTCTGAGTCCTTCAATTATCGCATTGCATGCAAATAATACACCTTTATTAGGCATCCTTCTCCCCACTTATTGTACCGTCTGGGCTTCAGGAACCCTCACAAACAGAGAGAGCACTATTTAAAGCAAATATTGAATGCTTTAAGTGCATGACATTGATTTAAGTGCGTCACTGCTCTGCATTAATTGAGAAAATCTTGTTAAAGTCAAGTCAAGATTTAATGCTGGCTCACCAATAAAGGAAGCAAAAAAAATTATAATTCGAAAGAAAAGGGGGGAAATTTGATGTTGGATGAATTTACTGCAAATAGAACACTGAAGAACAGAACTTTGATCGTCTTTAAAACTTTAGTCCATTTTGTCCAAAGATCTTTTTTCCCCTTTATAGTTTTGCTAGCCATACTGATAAACTTTTGACACTGAAGTATCAGCAGGAACAGATTAAACCATTCTTTTCTGAAGACAATGAAAACTTTAACCCAATATCACAAATGACTTGATTAGAACTAAAATCAGCAAAAGTGGGATGTTCATACTACTATTTTTGCAATATGTATATTGTGTACATATGTATGTACCGGTACGCATAAAACACAACTTAAAATATGCCATACAATAGACCACACATGCAATGTGCTTTACAGTTTAGGGACCAATGTGCTTTACAGTTTAGGGACCAATTCTTGCTATTTACTAGTTGCTTATTAGCATGCATATTACTACCAAAATGGCTGTTTATTAGTACTTAAAGCACATATTAATGTCTTATTCTGCATGACCATATTTTAGATCCCTTAATCCACCCCATACCTAAACTTAACAACTACCTATACGCAACAAATTAGGAAAGAACAAAAAACAAACATGCTTTGGTAAAACATTATTAGAAGTCATTTAGGACAAAATTATGACAGTCATTTGTGACATGAAAAGTCAAAATGATTAGATATTAAGTCATAACTATGGAAAAAAGTTGAAATGGATGGTAAGTTGCGATGAAGTCAAAATTATGAGATACAATTATGGCACAAAATGGAGTTGAAATTAACAAGTCAAATTAGTCATTTGACATGGAAAGTTAAAAGGATGACAGTCAATTATTAGATGAAATGTCGAAATGATACAAAAAATATTACATCGAAATTGAGATACTAAGTCATAATTATGACAACAGTAAAATTATGAGTCAATTAGGAGATGAACAAAAGTCATAAATGACAATAAAATCTAAAAAAAAAAAATCTAAATTATGAAAAGTTGAAACTGACAAATCAAAATTAAGATATTAAATCAGAATTACAGCAAGTTAAATTACGAAATTATGAGATATGAAGTCATAATTATGACAAAAGAGAAAGTCACTGTGAACTTCAACTTTAGAGTCATAAGGCTGAAATTGACAAATTGAAATTAACAGTCATAATTATGACATAAATTGAAATTATGAAGGTCACCAAGTCATAATTATGAGAGTCAAATAGTCAATTATGTGGTGGAAATGCTATTATTCACTACTACAATAAACAGTAATAATATTACCATTATTTAAAAAAAACAAAAAAAACAGGCAGAAGTCAGTATGGAGTGAAACAAAAGGTTTAAAAAAAATCTACAATATCACACTGAACTGAAATTCTACAAAACTATTATTGGTCCAGTAAACAGCAACCAAACGTTGATGTTAGGCGCTCTCTGATGTAACTGTAAAACGCTGGCAGAACGGAAAGACACAGCACAGGCTGCTAGAATTGCTCTCTGGGGAAAATTAATTGAAGGACAGAATATATTTGCACCTCATGAATAGTATACAGCAATCCAGAGAAAGGGCAGAGAACACTCATACAACAACTATATACAACACTATTTCCTGCTCCAAAAGATGCATTCATGTCTAATTTTATTGTCCAAGTATAGCCTTTTAACGACCACATTAAAATCTAGATAAATGCGACAAAAATGCAATTCCACATTGCATTATTTTTCTTTCAGCATAGCTGACGGGTACAAGTGACCCATTTCTATAGTCAGCTCCACAAGTAATGTCCCATTCTACAGACCATCGAGGCTAATGATGAACTGACACGCTTGTGTCAAAACAAAACGCTGAGCGAAAGGAAGCGTGTGAGAGACTACAGTATGATGCTGGCTAATTTCAGAAAACCAGATGCAAATGAGGGGTCTTTATTGTCAGTCACGTTGCAGCATGTCTTGTGTGTAATCTAGGATTTGTCTCTACATTCAGATCTGGTTTAGTTATGGTTTAAGATTAAAGAATTGAGGAGCGGGGTAATATTCTATCCCATGATGAGCTCTGGGAGAAAAACCTTGTGGTCTCATGACGTTTTTATTTTTAGCATTTCTCAAATACCATTCATGAAGCTATATTATAAAAGCTTGAGATAATGAGGAATGCACTGTTCAAGAATTGTATTTTTGTTCTTTATCCAATGTATTATCCATTATATTTAAGTTCACTACTGTTCAAAAGTTTGAGGTTAGGGAGTTTTTTTTTTTATACCTTTATTCAGCAGAGATGCATACAGTTAATTAAAAAGCTACAGTAAAGACGTATATTGTTATGAACAATAATTCCTTAAGTTGTTCTTTTAAACTTTCTATTCAAATTCTGGAAAATGTTTTAAATTAGGCAGCACAATTATTTTCAACACTGAAAATAAGTGTTACTTGAGCACAAAATACAATTATATTAAAACGATTTGCCATCACAGGAATAACTTACACTTCATTAAAAATTGATTTGTTATTGTTATAATTAAAATATTATAAACTAATTAAATTTTAGATTTTAAATTGTAATAACATTTTAATATACTGCTGTTTTTACTGTATTTTATCAAATAAATGCAACCTTGGTGGGCATAAGAGACCTCTTTCAAAAATATTAAATCTTACTGATCCCAAAGTTTTCAAAAGTAGTCTATTTTACATCATGAAACTTGGCCATTATTTTTTTCACCATTTTAACTAATCCTTTAGCCTTTTTACACTTACAATTAAATAAAGTAAATTAAAAAAAACACTTTTAGATTAAGCATAGGACATCATCTTGCAGGATACTGCTTTAATTTCAACTATCATGTTATCATGTGAAAATCAAAGAATCACAAAACTCCAACAGCACTGCACTTAATTTGCTCACATGCTCAAAGTATGAATTTTAAAAATGAAAGCAAGCTTGTAAAGTGCTCCTCGGAGCAACAGTGCACTGAAGGAAGCCCTACACAGCGGTGTTTAACAGGCACACAGATACAGACGCCAGAGGGGACGAGCAATCAGCCCTGCCTACGCAAAAACAAGCACACACACACACACACAGAGACCCTGTCATTTGTGCAAATGTCTGTTGTCAGTGCAGCTAGCAGGGGAGAGCTGGTGTGGCCAGCTGTCTGTGTGGGTTAAACGAGGCATGGAAGATGAGGAAGAAGGGGCAGACCTGTGGCCCTGCCATACTAACTCATGCTCCATTCATATTGACACAAGGGTTACACTAGCCCATCGTCTCTGTGACTCAAAGCAGCCACTGTAATAGAAAAAAGGACAGAATGTACACACACTAATTAAAAATGCTCATAGCACACTGCGCGAGAACATAATGATCTCATAACTTAAAAAAATATATAAAAATAAATAAATGAACCTGTAATACAAGAATGAGGGTAAGTAAAAATCACCAAAAACTTAACAGGTACAAATTAAAAATATATTTTTTCAAAGATGCAATATAATGCAACAATTCACAGCATTTATTGATCTGTTAATTTATAAACTCTATTGTTAGTTGTTAGTGTACTGATATATTAATTTAGAAAAATCCTGAATTTAAAAACATTTGAGATCTTGCTCAATGTTCTTCTGCAAACTGTGCAAATTGAAGCCTAAACAGTATAAAAGTCTAAAAATGTACTTTTTTTTTAAAGGCTTTTTTTTTTGCACCATCAAAACAGCCATTTATTTATTTTAAAGTAAGCTAATAAAGTCATTACCCAAACTGTTGTTACTACAAATATAAAGTAACATTTCAGTTAAATATGAGTATTTATAGCTAAATGTATCAAACTAACCCAAAATAAATATTTGAATTAATTTGTGCTCTGTTGCAGCATGGATTTTAAAAAAACTGCAATAGAGGTTTGCATTTAAAGAAATCTTTAATGAATCATACAAGTCAAGATTAAAGGTTACCACTTCCACAAAATGCAAAGAAAGTTTAAAGCAAATAGTCCAGAAAGAATGGCACTGATGGTTTCTCCTTTGAAATATGACACTCTATTCTCTGGTTTAATAAGGAGCGTCTCTACACATGGACCATAGCCGGTTATAGACGGGATATTAACTTGTAGAAAATAGGAAAAGGGAAACTTCACAATACTTTAAAATTAAAAGCTTTAAAATATAAGTAGACTTTAAACAAGTTGGGCTAGAATTCACACAGGGCTCAAAGTATTAAATAAGTAATATTAGCCGGTGAAGTCCATCCAGAGGTGACATCCTTAGTAAAAAAGAGGGAGGAAAGGTAGTCAGAATGACAATAATATTGTTACATATACACAGCCAAGGGCAGGTAGCATAAACTGCTTGGACTAGTCTTAAGTTATGGGTCATCCATTTTTTCCCCTTCAAAACAGTTACAAAAAAGCAGATTGGTCTATGTGAATCTGAAAAGACTGATTATTCCTTGTCTACTATTAGTTTGTGAAACTAGTTCTTAAAACACAGTCTTAACATAGTGGCTATGTTTATGCAACTGGCCCCTATCACAGGACTGCTTGAATCAGCTAAGGGTGCTGCTGCCATCTACAGGAGCATTCGTAACACCCACAGATAGAAGAGCAGACTTGTTTAAAGGGGTCATATGATGCTGCTAAAAAGAACATTATTTTGTGTATTTGGTGTAATGAAATGTGTTTATGCGGTTTAAAGTTAAAAAAACACATTATTTTCCACATACTGTACATTATTGTTTCTCCTCTATGCCCCGCCTTTTTGAAACGCGTCGATTTTTACAAAGCTCATCAGTCTGAAAAAGCGAGGTGTGCTTGATTGACCAGCTATCCAGTGCGTTGTGATTGGCCAAATACCTCAAGCGTGAGACGGAAATGTTAAGCCCCTCACATACTGTTGATGCCGTGTCAGGCCGGAGCGACGAGACATAAACATAAAACCCATTACAAACGAGGCATTTGTTTATCTCTTTGGATTTGAGACTTTAGTCTTTGCAACTTTACAGATCTTCTTTATGCACCAAGAGCTTGTAACACTCTAAAGAGAAAGGAAAAAATGAAATCGCATCATATGACCCCTTTAAAAGCTAAAACCCCTGGTTAAATAAAGTGTTAGAGTGCTTACAGAGTTTCCATGGAAGAGTCCGTGGTGCCCGAAGTCCATCGGATAAACTGATGGCGGTAGATGGCTCTGGCCTAACAAAAACATGAGTGCAGATGTATGTAAAGCAAAAATCACTTCACTTCTTTTGAGTGGAGTCACTTCAGCCCCATTTTGTCAGAAAACAGGTATGCAGGTATAAATAAGAGTGCCCCTAGTGGTTAAACTTGGTTACTTACCACCAACCCATTACAAGGTTATTTTACCCAAAAATGTAATGCTCAGAAACATTGCTTGTTTGCTTTACTGGGTCAGTTTTAATTTTTTAAGGTCAAGGGAAAAGAACATGAGGACTCACTTGTTCTGGGCAAGCTGATTGTTGGATTTACCCCAGACAAACATAGCAGCATTATCATCAGTCTCTGCAATCACAGGTCCAGAAGAGGAAATCATCCAGAAAGTAGTTTATTCATTTAGGCCAAAATCAAAATACAGAATCCAGAAACTATGCATATTAAATAAGGCAAAGTGGCAATGCCACCGCAAATATACAGTAGAAGCCTAGTATACGAAAACAAAAACATTCAAAAAGGCATAGCTACGGTGGCCGAGAAGTGCAGCGCATTTATCATTTTCATCCGAATAACACGGTAAGACTTTCTACATGAAAATACAGTGAAATGATCACAGTAACAGCCCATGTTCAAATATGCGACACTAACCATCTTCAGCATTTAGTGTCCTCTTGTCTTCACAGTTTGCGATGTGATGAGACAACTCATGCTTGAAAATCAAGTGCCTGGCATTGAAGGGGCAGGTCTTCAGTTCACTGGCCAGTTTGGGGTGGTTCTGAAACAGATGGGGGTGGACAGATAAAGTTCTCATTACACCAATGCCAAGTACACAGTGTTTTTACAATTTCAGTAAATATTACATGAAACATTAGCACATGGAAAAGGTTCCCTCTGCCATAACCCACCTTCCTGCACTTGAGAACATGAAAGGGGAAACGAGAGGCTCTGATCTGGTGGTTTTTGTCATATGGGCACTGCACAATCCTGTTGGGGTCACTGGCGTCTTCACCATTAGCTGAGGAAACAAGAGCATAAAACTCGGTTGCTCTTGCAGCTGGTTTACACAGAACGCGTTTTCCATTACACTGCGCTACTTGTCCGTTGTTTTGCTATGGTAGATAGACATGGTTTAACTATTATTTTGTGACTTAAAAAGTGTTAGGCCTATAGAAAATCGGACTGCTAAATTACCGGTCTCTTCATTCCAGCCTTGCTGTTGATTTTCAGAGTTTACTCCAGACGGACCGACACTACTCCCGAATCTAATAGTGGCCATGCTTGCTTCCTTCTGGAGAAGTTTGCTCGGCCTTGCGTGCTCCGTTGGCTTCGATAAAAATGTCACCCTAAATAAATAAAAAAACGCCCAGTTTAAAAACAAACCAAACTTTAAACAAAACACACTGATGAGTAGAAAATCGGCGCGTTTTAAACAAGATGGTCAAACCACTTGAAAGAAGGGAGGCCGCCGAACGCCAAAAGTCAAGGAATTTCGATCAAAAACATTTGCAAGTTTTCTTTAAAAATTACAACTTGAAGTAGGCTACTTTCTAATTTCTTTAAATAGCATTATCCTGTCAGAACACTTACAACTTGTATTTTCTTTTGTAGTCGTGAGGTACGGCGCGTGCTCCCCTCCCTTCTGCTGACTTCAATCAATTGAGATCGTGACTGTGGAGTGTTGCCAACTCTCGCAAGACAAATAAGCAACCGCTGCTTCAAAAACAAGCCCAAAACAAGCCCAAATTTTTTTTTGATGATTTATTATCATCGATATTATTTATTATCAATTATTTATTACCAATAAATGAGCCTGCAACATATCAAACTGAAACCACTCTTTTATTTGAAAAGCAAAAACAGAAGCTATTTTACAAAAATCAGCCAACTGCAACAAAAATGGGAACAAAACTAATCTCCAATCACCTGTGTGCAGAATAGGATTGGAGAGATGGAAAAGGAGAAAAACTATAAATAAAACAATTAAATGAAATTAAATTAGATTAAACAGCTACAAATTGAAAAAACTGACTATGAGTTATTTTAACAGCCTTATACAGACTATTCTGAGGTTTCAGCCAACAAAACATGAGGGATCATTAACCTATAATACATACATATATATATGTATGTATTATAGGTTAATGATCCCTCATGTATTTATATATAAATAAGTTTATATATATATAAACTTTTTTTTATTTGCTTGAGCTAAGAAGACTTGTCAATTTTTGAAATTAAGACTCCTATCACACAAATACTACGATATCCATCTACACAAACATTTGGTGCGCATTGGTTACAATATATGCGGTTATTGAAGCAGCCAATCACAGCGCCGCGCCCGCATTCCATTCTCTGAAGACACGCCCACGTAGAACTGTCAGCACCTCAGTCCAAGATGGCGCTGTCCTGTAGAGGGGTATGCAGCGGGGCTTCATTGATCTTACTGTACGGAAAACGACCTGTCGGGGTCAAAGCAAGTCTCTGCACACCGAGACTGGCTTCCACAAAATCCAGGTACTATTTATAACAAGTTCAGAATTATCGATCATATGTAGGCGGTGGTTTTCATACCATACAGCTAACGGTAGGTGTTTTTGGATATAGACTCGTTATAAAATTATACTGATGATGTTTCGTAATAAATAATACAAATGGGGCCAAGAGAAATATTTCTCATTGTCTATCCTCCTTTTAGTTGTTAGCCAGAGAAAAAATTGCATTGGGTTCATCAGGAAATACAGTACATGCCCTGCCCTGTGACATCACACAACATCTTTTATTTATTTATTTGTTTGTTTATTTATGTCTGTCTGTCTGTGTAGTAGTTTGTGGTTTGTTAGACACTACTCTCCTTCACAAGCCAGGCATGGGATTGGTCGAAGCGTTGTGTCCGGTCTGAAATGGGCCAATGAGAAATATGAGAGATTCCTGCAACGTCGCTTTCCAAGATTTTACGTCATTTATCACACTTTTATGAGAGGTCAGAGAGTGAATAATAGATATTTAAAATTATTACTGATTTTTTTTTATCCTTAAACCATCTCTGGCAAATATGTTATGATATTGGTTTTATGATTTTCTATAAAGGTTTCCGGCTCCTGTTTCAAGATGGTAAAGAATTGAGAAGAATCGTAGCCCGCATGCTCAGTGAAAGAATAGAGCACCAGAATTTGCCTTACCGTGATATGGAGAAAATCAGGCTGGCGAGTCAAAGAACTGAAGCAGACATTTATGAGATATATTGTTGTTATAAGTTGTATTAAATTATCATTTTTGATTTTGTGTGTTGCTTTCAGGTCCGCAGGGACTTAATCAAAGCCATTCCATTGGTCATCTTATCAATACCTCCTTTTGCCAACTATGTGGTCTTCATCCTTATGTGAGTATTTAGCATCTTACTCTGCTGATTATTCAGTGTTTTGTCTTTTTAACAATTATGAAGTATTTTTGCATCTTTGAAACTGATTGAATATTGAATGTTTCAATTATTATCTGTTACTCTTCCATTAATTAATCCAACGATACTTCCACCCTCAAGGATGTGATTTTTCCATATTTATACAAAATTTTGACCTGAGACATGAGAACCACAGGAATTGTCAATCTGAGTGAAAAATTGATGCATTTTAAAGTAATAATAATAATAATAATTAATTTATTTATTAATATTATTATTATTGTAATATAGCAAAGTAATAATGATGATAATAATAATTATTATTATTATTATTGTAGTATAGCTAGGTATTATTAAAAATAATAATAATAATTATTATTAATACTTATTACAGCATGCTATATTACAATAATATTTTGCAAAAGTAATATATTTATTTAATTGTTAAAATGTAAATAAAAATATTTAAATAAACTATTTAAATATTTTTAATAACAATAGTTTGTTATTATTAATACTCTTTATTTTGCAGTATAATAGTATTATTGCAATTTAAAAATTTCTTTATTGATTTAAGTTTAATTTATTGTTTAAACTTTTAATAATAGTAAACACTGAATAATTATTACTTTATTGTTGTTATTAAATATTATTTTTATTTTACAGTACAATAGTATTATTTTCATAGTAATATTTCTTTATTGATTTTACTTTTCACAATTGAAATACTGTTATCATTAATAGTTTATTATATACTCGGCTTTTTATTTTACAGCACAGTAATTTGTTTGCAATAGTAATATATTTCTTTGAGTAGTTTTTAAATGTAAGTAAAAAATATTTTGAATAATAATAATTGTTTATTATTATTATTATTAGATGGGGTGAGGGGTGTTTTTCCTCTTTCTTGTGCTTAGCTAATCACATGCATCATCCTCTAGGTACCTCTATCCTCGTCAGCTTCTGATCCGGCACTTCTGGACCCCACAGCAGTTGGTGGAGTTTCAGGGGGTGTATCATGCTCAGAGAGCCCAGCACCACTGGGCTATAGTCAAAGGGATGGAGAACACGTCAACATCAGTCCAAGACAGCCGACTCAAAAGCCGCCTTACAGAGCTCTGCAGTAAGGTAGCCTGAGCTAATTCATTATTTTACATATGTTTAAAATCATAGCCTTTGTTAGTTATTTTATTCAGATTTTGACTTTTTAGTAATTATAAATGTGTGTCTGCAGGTCCGAAGTGGAGTCCATCCTGTGGTGTCTGATGTCCATGCAGTGAGAACTTTGTTCTCTGGACCTCCCTTGGGTATCAAGAGAATGTATGCAAATCAGATGGTGAGCTCCAAATAATTGGCTAGTTTAACAATGAACTTCACTTCAAATGTACTTAGTCTTTAGTCTTAGTCTTGTTTAAAATGTATCTGCAGAGACACCTCTGTGCATTGCTCTTTCTGACGCCCCGCCTCCCAGGCTTCTGGATTGGTCGACGCTTGAACAGCCACGCCTTTGAACTCATGCAGCTTGACCGTGCCATTGTTCGATTAGGCTTGCATCAGTTAAACGACGCAGAGCTCAGAGAGGTCAGAGGTCACTCCTTATTTTGCCTGTTACATCCTGTTAGCAGCCTTTATTTTGTGATTTTTGAAGAATATTCTTACTTCACATCTCCTAGGCATGTTACGTGAGAGGGCTGAATCCAGACCGCCTGAGTCCAGGGCAGTGCCGGGAATGGCTCACACAGTGGTTGCAGTTCTCAACACACCTCAAAGGTACACAGACAGGCCATAAGTTCAAGGCTATGTTCAGAATAGCGTACTAGCATGCTCCTTTATGGTGCATTCATGCAAGGTCATAATTACTAGATGAAAACCTGGACGTTCTACTCTGAGCCATTCTCGTCATTAGAGCAGGAATTATTGTTTGTAATTTTAATTTGTAAGTGACAAAATAACAAAACGGGTAACAGAAGGCTGATTTCTTATCTTTTTTTTTTTCTTTCTTCAGAAATCTCCACTTCAATAGACCGTACATACACTAAACTTTACAGTTTTATTGCTATCTATATTCTGAAGTTTTTTTTACAGAAGGGTTTGTTTATACAGTATATTATTTGTCTGCTTTTATACAACATTTTATCCCTAAAATCATTTCCTGGCTGCTGACAGTATTTTCTGATTTATGGAGTGATAAAAACAGACGTCCAAAATCCCCTCTGTGAAAAACATTTAAATTTAATGTGAAAGAAGAATTTTTAACCTGGCTTTACCAGGGTTCAGATTTCTGTTTTAGAATTGTATGAAAATTAGTGCACATTTAATTAGATAATGCCTTATTTGCATATTTAAACATAACATTTCATTTGCAACATTTCTGTATGCAAATTCGCTGTAGACAATAAAAAATGTCTAGTGTACAACTGAGTGCATTGCCCAGGATACTGTATCCCACAATGCAGTGCAGTGTCATGAATGAACCAAAAGTAATTGCTTTTTAAATGAAACTATTTCATTTAACTGCCAAAATGTAAGACTTTTTACAATACTAGATGAAAACATGGGATAACAGTGTAGCATATTTATATTAATCATTACAGTCACAATATTTTGAAGTATAGCGTGCACTGCACAGTATTCAGTATTTGAGCATAGATGTGCTCTAAAGTTTTCTTTTAAAATACCCTTTCTTAATTGGTCAGTAGGGCTTTGTGTTAAATAGCATGAACAAATAGCACAGAAGAAACCACTGTTGTGCTTTTGAAACTGACTTGACAGTTATTGTGTGTTGCACATTCATTGTGGTATTCCATTTCCTTCCTGTTTGCCCAGAGTCCGAGACCTCCCTCTATCTGCACTGTATGGTACTGCTAACTGTAAACTTCCCTAAACACCCAAGTCACTGACCTCTGGAGGAAGTAAATGACTTCTCTTCTAAACCATTCACTGATCATCCACCACCACACCCAAAGGCAAAACACCGCGGGAACAAACAGACTCATGTATGCAAATCCAAACAGCGCAACACAAGCTTTTTTACCATGAGTCTTTAGGCTTAGTTGCATTTTACTTTATGAAGGGAATTTTTTTCCGGTTTATGCAGGAATTATTCTTTAAAGGGGCTGTCATGCTTTAAATGTTTTTCTTGGAGATCTATCCAATTTTGTTTACTTCAGCAAGGAACAGATAGGAGGGACATGGTCACTGAAAGATGTCATCGGGATTATGGAATTTGTCTAATAATTTCATAATCCCCCCCCCCGCCTAACCACATCTGAGACAAAAAGCACACTGAACATCTGCCAAATGCATCCATTTGGAATTAAAGCTCATTGGTCTTATAATGAACATTTTCATTCTGAATATTTATTCTACTAACAGCAGTTGTTCATGCACAGTCATTTGTGAATTGCATTTTGTACCTTTGTTTAAAACCTGCACTGACAAGTATCACCTATCACATTAATTTGTCTAGTTTCTCTCTCAGATTGTTTAAAATGTTTTATTATAGAAACCCATTTTTTATGTTTTAAATCTGATGTCAAAACTGAAAAGAGGTTTACAGCCTTTAAAAACACTGAAGTGTGATAAAGTGTATTCCTTAATATATTATTAAGATATGTTCTATAATGCAGCATATACTTAATTTAATTACATTTGTTATTTATTTTTGAGTTCTAAAGACTACATAAATAATATTGCACCTTGTTCCTGTCCTATCCAATAAGAAGATGTTTGCTGTGAGCACTAGGCTGTTTGGTCATAGCATTTATGTTATGCTAAATGAGTCTTGTCAAGTTCTGAAATAACTTGATCTTCTTATTCAGCCTTTTAACAGGTGCCTTTTACTTAAGAACACAGGTACAAATGAGGTGCAGTTCATGCAGTTATCTTTATATGTTGCCAAATGTGTTGCTTTATTTTGTTTTTATATAAAGAGACAATGCTGTTTGGTTCGGTGTTAAAGTACATAGTTAATGCAGTATGAAAAGATTGGAACTTCTATTAAAAGACTTCAAACTTTATGGTCTCTGTTTCAAGGTAGCACTGATTCACCAACACCACAGTAGTAAGCTGAAATAACTAAATATTTAAGTTCATTATATTTAAGACAAGGACAAACTTGTTTAGAACATTTTATTCCTTCTTTTTTGACACAAATGTTCTATAAATGTATAAAATTTGGCATATCAGTAATAATTGATTGTTGTCTTGTAACCCAAAGGAATGTCACTGCAGTAAAGATCAAGTTTAAAACCATGTCTAAAGTATAAATCAGTCAATCGGACTTAACAGGAGACTAATCTACTGGATTAGTCATAGAAGCATAGACATCGTAGATATTTCATTCTCAAAGAAAATGAGTACTGTCAACTTACACAGCAAGGGGGGAAATAATTGGCATTTATATAATAGTTTTAAAAACACCTGAACAGTCTCTAAGAGCTTTAAGTGATATGCTAATATGGGTGAAGTGCTGTAACTAGATGTGATCACATGACCTCATAGCCGCTGCGGATGGCTCGCATCAGAATGCAGGACAACACAATGCCCGTGATCTACAAAAAAACAAAACAAATTTATTGGTTAGTGTACGAGGAAGGGGAGTTTGCATTGATGTTTTGATGTGCATGTAATAGGAAAACCAATCTTGCAGGTCTCACCTGCACAAATGCAATGACCAGAGCTGCCACAGCGATCCACAGGATATTTTGCTTTAGAAATTTGTCCAAAATGGGCTGGCATCCCTGTGTTAAACAAACACAAAACCAAAATCTAAGTGCTTATAGCACATCCCACAAATCCTGTCCAATAAACAATTTCTACTAGTCTTATTTTTTTTTTAAGTTTAAAATTTAAAAGCTACGAGGACACAGACAGTCTAATTTTTTGTAGACTTTCTTTGTAAAAATACCACAGTACAGAAGAGTCAGCAAAACCCTAGTGCACTTAAAAAAAGGTTTCTTACATCTGTGTAGATTTTGCTGGTTTCTTGGAGAGCTCCTTTACCACAATCCTTGGTGACGTTTTTACAGCAGGAATCTGGGACTGAACTGGGAGCCAAGAATTTTGAGTTCATCCAATCACTAGAGGAGTTTCTTCCACAGCACTTGAACTAGAAGAAAGACATTACAAATTCATACTTATTTAACTGGTCTTTTTGTAAATATATATATATATATATTTGTGTGTGTGTGTGTGTGTAAAATAAAAATAAATCATTCAGATTTCAGAGAGCAAGTGCAGCACTGAGTCTACAGTGAAGTTTAGCCACATAACAGCATAAGACTTATAACAGCATATAACTTCTCTAATTGTTTTGTATTCTATCTATTTGTTTTCTTTTTATTTATTATACAATTAACAAAAGCAAAAAAGGCCTCTAACACTAGCTTGCTCTATTCTTTTTCTATTCTATCGGTTTTCTTTTGATTTATTATATAATTAAAAAAAACCTTGCTACGCGTACTTCATTAAGCTAACTGAGATCTGTTATAGCACTTGCATATCATTGCTCTTTTGTTGATTTTGATTGCTTCCATTGTCCTCATCTGTAAGTCGCTTTGGATAAAAGCATCTGCTAAATGATTAAATGTAAATAAGAGGAAGCAGGATGTCAGTTTAGTGTCAACAGATGGCACTGAGCAAACAAAATGGGAGAAACTCGTAAGACACGATTACATGCATGTGAAAATGGAAATCAATAACACGTCCAAAATGTGAGAGGTTTGGGTTTACTAACCTGTTGCTGTATAGTATCAAGGGAGTCGCGGTTTTCCGTTTCGTTGTATCCTGCAATCATGACGTCAAAACCTTTATTCAGCAGATCAGTCAGCTGCAGAGAAAGACAAATTATTATGAGCCAAATGGTACTAGAAAACAGATGAATAAAAATGAAGTGCCAGTGAGAAGAGTGCTCACGTTTCCACGCAAGACATATCCAGCGATGGCAGCTCCGATTTCAATGATGATGATGAGGGAGAGAATAACAGCAAACTAGGAGAGAATAAATAAAGGAGAGGTAAATGATAAAGGTGAATGAATAGCATTTCAAAGATTTGAATTATTTTATTGCGAGCTGGTAGGTGCTGTGCTACTGTATTTGTGTAGGCATACAGTAGCACATTCTGAGGCACCAGTTTATTGTAACTGTTTGATTTCCATTTTAGTCAAATATGCACATACACATCTATTCTTCAAATTAAGTGTTGTATAAAAAGGAATCTGGTTTGACCTGTTGGCCATGTGTTGACCATGTCAACACAGACATGCTGCAGCTTTACAGCAGTCGGTATATAAACAAAAGCATCAGAAGCCAGCAAGTTAGTGGAAATACAGCCTAGATGTAGTGTAATAGTGTAAATGTGTACCAGGTTACTTGGGCAATACTTAAAGTCTGCATTAAATCAAAATTTACACAATTTACTTTGTTAGCACACATCACTAGTCTTGAGGTGAACAATTAATCCATGCAAGTTAATCTACTGGAAAAAAAAATGTTTGTCTTGGTAATCTTTAATCAAAACCTGAACATTTGCTTCCACTCTGGAATGGCATTCCTTCTCTGATGACGTCAGTTTCACAGCTTGGCCGAGTAAACGAGGACTTTAATATTAGTGTGCTTCACCACTAAACTTAACCCCACATATAAACTTCATATTTCAGTCAGTCAACAGTATATGTTCACAAGTACACTTGTATACATTTACATGTTAACGTGTCTACTACCCCAGTACATGCCAGATTTTAACATTAATTTATATTTTTTCCCAATTTGTCCATTAATAGTCATAATTTTACACACATTTCCCAAATCTTTAATGTTAATCTATTTACTTATTTAAATGTATGACATGTAATAAAATACTTAAATAATTACATTAGAAAATAATAAATAACACTAATGCACAACTTAGAAAATCTACATTTTTTAAATTTATCTTTTTGATATTAAAATCGGGCAAAATGTGGAAATATAAATATATGTGCATTATAGCAACTGAAATTTATGACAGCTGACTTCTGCATCGGGTAAAATAAGATCAAAACAAACCTAACAATTAAAAGCGAAATGCATGGATTTCAGCACTATTTACAAATTTGAAAGCTGCTTACTGGATTCTCAATAAAGATGAATGTCATGTCATACATGGTGACTAGGCCTTTGTTTACAATGAGCTTGTAATCTAATACCGAAGCATTAAGAATAAATGGTGCAAACAAATTTTAGCCCCTAGTGCAAACAGCTGAAGCAACCCTAACCATTAAATTACATTTACTTGAATCCCTGAATCTCATTATATGCACTAGAACATGAATATTTTCATCACACATTCTTACCATTGAGATCATGCACTGATTCTCCTTCCAGGCACCACAGCAGCCAAAGAATGCGATGAAGAAGATGATGACTCCCACCACTATGAGCACTAGAGGAGAACCGGAGTATCCTTTGAGGAAGGCCGTGGTGTTGATAGAAACTTTAGCCAATACCCCCACAACTATTAAGGCCAGGCCACACAGCTAGAGATAAGAGAAACAGAGAGGAAGTGTGAAAAACAGTGACTTTAAAAGACTCTTCTATAATAATTTAGTTATTCCTCATTCTGTAGTTAAACTGACATTAACCTTCAATTAACTTACTTTTTAAACTTACAACAGTCACTTATTTGGAATCATAAAAATTGCATGCAAGTAACCCTAAGCCAAACCCTAATCCTAACCCTAACCATATAGTAAGTACATGTAGTTAATTAATATTACTGAGTATTTAAATGCATAATTACACTGTAACAAGGACACCTTAAAACAAAGAGTAACCCTATCTTTTCAATTTAGTAATTAATATCAACTAGGAATTTTTAAGTGTTGTTTTCCACTAAAGATGTAAAGAAAAAAAATGGTACCATAACTTATTTCATTATTCTGTTCCCTAACCATGATTCTGACTGTAGGATGTTTGTGTTAGCATTAAAGAGAAAAATAAAAAGGGAGTTGTAACTAGGTGTGGGTAAGTTATTAGAACTATGAGAGTCTGCAAATTTCAGTACAGTAATTTGCCATTGGTGATGGCTTGAAATATCTATTCATCATGCTATGTAAAGTTTGTCAGCAATCAGGAAATTAGTTACGCACAAACATTATCATTATCACACAGATAAAGTACTGTGTAAATGTCTCTTAAGTACAGTAGGACTGATCGGCACAGCTGAGCAAAGTGTAAAGGATGTTTAGTAATACGTAAATGTCGGCTGTACAAATGAAGGTTGTATGGGTGTCCCACAGCAAAGTCAACAACCCAGATCGATTTTTATGACTATACCGATCCGGCTAACATACAAAGCAACACCCGAGTAAATATTTGAGGGTAATAAGTAGCAGCAGGTACCTGGACAAAATTGACGAAAGAGAAAACAACAGGAGGATAAATCCTGCTGAGTGAAATAAAGATATACGTTGAAATTGCCAGGAGTGTCTATTATTACATAAAGAAACACATGACAATGTCCCAAATAAGGAGTGGTGTTCAATTGTCTATTATCAGCCCATATTCCAGTTGACCTTTGGCATTTTTTTTTCTGAATGTGTCACAGATGAACGTTGATACTCATATGGGGAAAGTCACATGATGCCGCCACAAATAGGAAGATCAATCACATGACTGAGACTGAACTTTTAAATTTCTCTTTCACTGAGAAGAGAGACTTAAATTCCCAGCACAAAACTCCACAGAGTAGTTTTTCCTGAATTTTCTTTTCTTTTCTAGTTCAAAAGAACTAGAAAGGCAAACACAACTGTAATTCTCAAACTCACTGGAATTGTTAATGGCTGAATGTTTGGTTAAAATGAACAGAAATGGAACTGTTTCACTGTAGTTTAATAAAAATGTAAAAATCCCTTGTTGTTGTGTTTTCTAACATTACAGTTGAGAATCTCCATGAAAATTTTCCCTGGGAAAGTTACTTTAATTCCACACATGTACTGTTTTTTAACCCATCTAAACTTTCTTTCTTTTCTTTTCTTTTCGTTCTTTGTGATTGTGGACATATATTTTCACAACATTTCTCATTTATTTTGATGTTCACTGAATACCATAACTAAAGTAATGTATTTTGTGTCACAAATCAGTTATTTAAATTATAAAAGGTGAGTAAACTTTCTGAGTAAACAGATAGTAGTTCAAGTACTGTGGGGTATACCGGAATAAATCAAAAATGAAAAAACTTAAAATAAAAATAAGATGAGGTGATGAGGTCAACATCAAGGCAGATACCTAAATAATTCCTTCCTATTATTATATATATAATAATGCTCAAATGTAGTTTAGGAAATTAAATATGTCCTAACAGTGCAACAGAAACTAATTTCAGTGCGCTTATCTGATCACAGGAAGCATAGATGATATAGGTGCTAAAATGAGCTTGTGGCCTCGTGTACATCCCCATCAGAGTATATGTAAAAAACAAGCTGTCAGCTCATACAAGTTCATGGCCATTCGCAACTATGTTTTCAATTTTGAAGGATAGAGTGCTGTACATGCAAGAATGTTTTTTTTCTTTCAGAAAACATACCACTAAATGCTCAGGCTACGCTTTAAACAGAGTGTGTGGTGTGCACATTTACACCAGGGAATGCTTAGACACCAAACAATGTCAACACCAACAGCACAAGATGAATGCGTGAGAAAGCCGTGCTTTGTGTGATCAAACAAACTTGCTGGGACGAAGTGAGTGCTGTTTTCCATGACCTGAAAGGAAGCCTGCATTATCAGCGAGCTGCTGAAGGACAGCCATAAACACATTAATCCCCCAAAGTCAACTAACAGCGAAGTGTTAACAACAAAACCACATTTCTGCATTAGGCATGCTTTAAATTTATGCCATGAAATGGTTGTGACTTTCTACAAGTTAAAACGGTAATTAAATGAAATTGAGTTCACCACAACATTCTCATTAGCTTTACGCATGTAATGCGAAGGTTTGCCCAGTTCCTGAGTAAACACCCGTGCTCGTGAGTGATCGGTCTTTGAAAGCTCAACAGCCATGTTTGATCTACATGCTAACACTAAATGACTGTATTCCTGTCATCTGACAAAGCCAGGAAACACGTATTTTCACTAGAAGAGGTTTTTTTTTACTCTGTTGAACTCCTTGACTGGCAAAACTGTGTGTCAGTTACTACGAATACTCAGAACTTCATTTTGAGGTTTTGAGAGGGGGAGGAGGAATTGTGAAATACCACAAGACTTATATGAGAAGTAAAGAAAAACCTGTCCATTTTATTTCTCCATTTTACGTCAAAGCCCCTCACTAAAACTAAAGTCATCGTGAAGCAGCATGAATTGTAAAAATGGAAGGGTTAGGAAAGCGTTTCGTATAAATCTTTCACAATAAAGCCTCCAGATAACATGCAATAAGCCAACGATAATTCAGAAAAATGGCTCAGCTGTTATAACACATGCCCTAGCTAATGTAAAATGTGATGTGAAATAATACAGATATTATTTGTTACTCACCCAGAAGATGAAATTAAAGAAAAAGAGCAGGTATTTGATACATTTCGCTCCTCCTTCTACAGCCATGGTGCTTTCAATTAATTCCTGTGGAAAAATAAAGGTAACTAAAAACACATAAACTAAAGTAAATGACCACACCCACTGCCCTTAATACCTGAAAGGTTAAAAATACAGAAACAATATAGGTCAATGTACTGACATGAGCTAAATGAGGCTAATATTTAACTGTATATTACTGAAAGTAAAAGTAACTGAAAGAAACCATAAAAATGACAAGAAACTAAATGTCAAAGGGCAAGAATATGTAAAGATGTAATGTGAAAGATTACAAAGTGATATATCATTAAGCTATGACTGAAACAAACTATTCAACTGTATAAATGATTATAACCTTTTAAAAATAAATCAGATTCTTTCCTCCAAGATTTTCCAGGGTGGACATATTATGCTTGACCTCATGACTAACATCACAAAATTACTTGAAATAACTCCAAAATAATGGAGTGGCTAATGTCTCGGTCTCATCCAGTGTGTGATGTTAGTTCTTACAGGACAAAGTATCACTGGACAGTAACTCAAGGTACAAACAAAAGATTAACCACGTTTTTATTATTATTATTGTAATTTATAAAATGTAAAAATATTTGGACATATTATGCTTGACCTCATGACTAACATCACAAAATTACTTGAAATAACTCCAAAATAATGGAGTGGCTAATGTCTCGGTCTCATCCAGTGTGTGATGTTAGTTCTTACAGGACAAAGTATCACTGGACAGTAACTCAACATGTGAAAGATGTGTCGAACAAAATGACTATAGGCAAAATAAATGTAAGTAAAATGTGGGTTTTGGACCCTAATAAGGCCTATTATAATAATAGTCCTCATTTTCTTTAACCAGACCAAAAAGGAAATTAATCAGGTCAAATTTAACATTAGAAATGCTAAAAATGTTGGCATAACATTTTACACGAAGTAAAACCGTGAGAAAGGTGAAACTGTGGTTATTACCATAGTCACGAGATTAATAGTTTGATGTTTTAAATAAACTGTGAATGTTTACTGTCAAATTGGCCTTTAAAAGCTAACGTTACATGATCTTTAACTGAGTCGGTAAGCCAGTTGGTAAATAAATAGTAAATATGTAAATAAAGTTTCTGAGTATGACGACCCGACGCTCAACGGTAATTTCTTACTTTTTCCTAATCCAGGTCCTCGTGTTATACAAACGCCTTATTTCTTAACCAAATCCTTAACTTTAGAAGGCTTTACATTATGGTATTTTAAATCTGATAAAACACGGGTTTCGCATGTTTAAAAAAACACCAATATGTCTGAAATTTTGAAGACTTTTAGGGCCTCGCTCTTTCAGAAAAGACTTGAAATTCAAGATACAACACAAGAAAATCGCAAAGGAGAGGAAACAATGTGACTATTGACTGGGTTAACTAAATTACACCCCGCGTGTAATTTCGACGATTTCCAGTTAAAACTAATTACTTAAGATAACAAACAACAAGTAACGTTACTCCTTATAAGCGAAGAGAAAGTGAGACACATTCGCTTCAATCTCGAGCTCGCTCGAAAAATTTCCGTTAAGTTACATGTTGAATTAGAGGGTGTCGCGCGACTGTCGAGAAAAACATCGGTGAGAAATAAAAACGTTTAACGTTACCTCTGGTCAAAATGTCAAGTCTAGCGTGCAGAAAACCTGTAGAGTGAAAAATCGAATGCTATCTGTCCAAGCAACAGCACACGGATATGAGAAGTCGACTGTGTAAATGTGATCCCTCCTGTCAGTGCACCCCACCCCTTACTGCAGAAGAGGCTGAGCCGAGTACAGAAATCATCCGTTTACTTTAAAACTGTGCTCAGACTTGTTTAAAAATCCTAGCCGATTTTAAAATCTGGTTGTAGCACACACACACATAAAGACTCTTCGCAGATTTTCTTCCCTCAAATCTTAAACATGTACCTCCTCATATCAATCAACTGTGTTGAGTTCAGTCTGTGTCCACAGATTAAATTGCCTAAAACAGTTCAAATAGTGTATAATGGTTAAAAGGTATTGTCAACAACAATACGAGCGTCACATTTTAAAGGTGCACTCAGTATTTTTACTAATTAAAAAGGTTTTTACACAAAGAAGTGAACAACAGCACTTTTCATTAGGTAATGTATCAGCTGTTTTATTCTACATGAAGAGGTCGCTCCCTCGTGAGCGCCACCATGTTGACATCACATGACCAGCCGTCATGCAAGTTAAGAATAATAAATATATAGGCATATATTGTTTTACTAATTTATATTATATGGATGATATGGATTTATATTATATTTACCGTATTGTCCGGGGGGGGGTCATTTTATGTTTAAGCCTCCCCCAGTGTGACTGTGTTGATGTGAATGATGAATGCTTAATGAAACTTATTGCTCTGCAAAGTTGAAAAATTGTTCATAAGTACATAACCAATATTTAACCAATTCATTGTTTTGTTTTTCAAAGTTGCATTTAAAAAAAAAGGAGGACACGTGCAATTTGAATGGGCATGACTCTGTTTATTTAACCCATAACATTACTTTATTTAGACTGCAGGTAGAAAAGGGAGAGCCTTATATCATGTTTCATCAGCGAAAGAACTTGTGTGTGTGCACTTGGATGGGTTAAATGCAGAGCACAAATTCCAAGTATGGGTCGCCATACTTGGCCACACGTCACTTCACTTCACTTATGAAGAACTTTTATGGTGCTTTTCCTTTTTTGAGGAGATTGACTGCCACTAGTCATGGTACGCTTTCTTTGTACAGAAACATGCAGCTCAGACATTCTTTAAAGCATCTAATTTTGTGTTTCTTGGAACACACTTACAGGAATAGTTCACCAAAAAATGACAATTTGCTGAAAATGTACTCACTCTCAGTCTATCCAAGATGTAGAGGAGTTTGTTTCCTCATCACATATTTGGAAAAATGTAGCATTACTTCACTTTGTTACCAGTGGATCACTGTGAACTACTTGTGTGGATTATTGTAAGGTTTTTATGCTGTTTTGGACTCATACTGATGGCACCCATTCACTACAGAGGATCCATTGGTGGGCAAGTGATGTAATAATAAATTTCCCCAAATCCTTTCTGATGAAGAAAGAAACTCAATTACATCTTGGATGGCCTGACGGCAAAAATTTAAGTAAATATTCATGTTTGGGTAAAGAACTAATCCTTTAATAATGTTTTTTAGATAAATGATTTTATTAAGATGAACTTAGTATTAATCTCTTCTCTTAGGCTGATGATACACGGGGCAACTTTTTTTGAGTGCGGTTTCTTGGGCACGTACCCATTGAGAATGGGTAACAAATTTCTATCTTGATACTTTAGATCTGTCATGGGCCCTGTGTCTCACCTGGTTCCTCTTTGACGGCAACATTGCCCAAAGTTGCCCAGCAACATTACTCAAAAAGTTGCCCCGTGTATAATCAGCCTTAAACTTAAGTATTTTTAATGTCACCTTCTTTCTCTGATCAGCAGGTTGGAGACGAAGTCCCGAGCCTCAGCAGGCACATGCTCAAACGCATCCTCATCAGAGTACCTACAGACATCCAACAGGGGGCGATGTTTACAACAGATTTCACTTTAAAACGTTCTTTAGAGCTGTTTGTAGACTTTAGATGATTTTTAAATAGATGTTTCAGCACTTGTTTATAATTAGCTCATGTTCTGTTGAGTATAGAATCAATATAATAGCGGCCTACCAGTTGCCCATAAGCACATTGTTGAGGGTCTGGCTATCGTCATCACCCAGAAAAGGAGAGAGGCCGCTTAATCTAGAACAACAGAAATCAAATATGATTTTTATTGCTTCTCCATTTCAAGAGTTCATCTAACATGAAGCTAACAGGGTTACACAAGTTTCATTTTCTGGTTTGGAGGCGGCCCAGAATACTCCATAACACTGTTATTGCTTTAATTAGACTAAGCAGTTGACTTAGTGACCCTGGATGCTGTTTTATTGCCTTGTTTGATGTTTTTGGATTCACTCCCAGAACATTTACCGGACGTCACAACTGTTAGCCAATCTTTGTGACTAATTTGTATGAAATCACTTATTAAAAATAATTGAATTTGTAATCAAGGCCTGCTTATGTCTCTTTTGGAGTGGTACAGCGAATTTTTAATTCAAATATAGACATTTGTTCAAATGATTATTTAATTGTGAATTACATGTTCTGGTGTGTGTTAATGTGATTTACAGCATGTATGTGACGACTCCCAAAGTCCACATATCTGTAGGGAAGGAGACAAAATCGAAGTTCACCACCTCTGGAGCAAAAAATTCAGGCGTTCCGAATTGAGCTTCTCTCGTGGTTTATATCTGAAGAGGGACAGGAAGAAAAACCACTTGAACATAAAAATAAGCCTTGGCTATATTATTTGAACTCTCAGAGGATTGACACATTCAGAAATACACAGTGGTCACTGGAAAAGTATGTAAGGCAAATGTCATGCCAGCAAAAATGGCTGATGACAACACTTATCTTCATTTGAACACATAAACATGCATGGACAAGTACAATACAATAGCAGTGTATAAGTATAAATCCTACCTCCTCACTAGTCCAAAGTCAATAATTTTCACCTGATGGCTAGAGCAATTAACAAGAAGAATGTTCTCTGGCTGGAAAAAAAGTGATAAACTGTAACACATTTCCCTCTGACATACAAGTTTCCATAAAGGCTTAAACTATAATCTCAGTGAATCCCTTGAGAAAAGAACAAAATCACTAGCCTAAATCTGAAAGAACAAAGTGACCCCTTTTTGCTTCATCTGTTACCTTGAGGTCCAGGTGAAGTACATACATCTGGTGCATGTACTGGACACCCTCACAGATCTGTTTCACAAACACCATGGCATCCACCTCAGTCAGCGGACAGCTCTCATCCACGATTCTCTCGAACAACTCACCTCCCTCCACACTGAATAGAAAAGACAATGTTCTCTGTTGTTTCATATGCCATGTTGCATTTTAGCCAATTGTGTTTTATTGCTTAAAAAGAATCACACTACTCACTACTCCAGGATCAGCACAACTTGATTCTTGACCTCAAAGGCTTCATAAAGTTGGAGGACATTGGGGTGATTGAGCTGGTTCATGACCTGGATCTCATTTAGTGCCATGTCCTGCAAAACAACAGGAACAACCTTGAAAAATTAATATCATGACCCTGTTTTGTGAGCACTTTTGTGCATATGACAATGAAGACTGGAATAATGACTGTTAAAAAATTAAGCTTTGCCATCACAGGAATAGCTTACACTTTAAACATAATAATAGAAAACAGATATTTTAAATTGTAATATCTTACAACATTACCGTTTTTAACATTTTTGAGCAACTAATGCAGCCTTTGGTGAGCATAATTGAAGTCTTTCAAAAACATTAAAAAATCCATCGACCCAAGACTTTTGAACGGTATGTAACTATCTAACCATAATTAAACCATAATCTGAACATCTATCAGAAGGAAAAATTACACAAACACCTGCCATACTGCCAAAAAGTCAAAAGAATTATATAGTCTCTCATATAGTGTCTCTAGATTTTTGTCACAGTTGTAAATATCCAACTCGTTTTGTTTGTCTCAAATAACCTCTAGTTTATTATGGTACTGTTATGTTGGTAATAAAAACAAATTGTGGTAGCAGAGCACTAGTTTGACAGCAACATGTATGCAGAGCTGAATAGTAACTGATTACATGTAATCAGGATTACGTAATCAGATTCCAAAAATCAAGTATTTGTAATGACATTTTATAATGCTTATAATCAGATTACAGTTACCTTTTTATGGATTACATGATTACATATTATGTAAACAATGGCCGTAAATCATTTAGAATGTATTTATTTTCCCTAATTATTCTTTGTCTTCATTATATCTGGAGTGACCTTCATTTACTGTTGACTCTAGAGGTCTGGACAAAATATTTTCAAACCTGAAAGACTTTGGATGTGTAATATCATTGTTATATATAGCGTTTGTTCATTAATGCAAGGATTCCTAAACGTTTTTGTCAGCCAAACACCTCTGACATGAGATATTTACTTGAAATATCTCTGAGGAAGTTAATATTTCAATAATTTTACAACACATTTGATTGTTTTCAGTGTTGTTTGCAGGTTAAAAAAAAAAAAATCTATTTTTAGTGTTCAAGTGTTTAAATAAACTCAACTCACAAACCCACTGTAGTTCTTACATTAAGCCCAATTAGGGAAACTACAGTTTTCATCATGTAAACAGTAATGGACTACACAATTTGTAAGTAATCTACCTAGCTCTACATGTATGTTATGACACTTCTATTCTAAGTGCAGATATTTTCAGTTATATTTGTAAAGTATTATATATGTACACAGATATACTTACTCTTTCTCTGGCATTTCTTGTGTTGATGATTTTAGCAGCAAGCCTCATCCCCGTCTTAGTCTCCATACATTTGTGCACCTTGCCAAAGCGACCACTGATGATACAATTATTAAATATGGCGGTAAAAAAAATGTCAAAGGTGCTAAATAAATAATTATACATGATAAATAATTGATTTAAGTGAGCGCTAACAGTTAGAGTAAGCAGAAATGATCATCTCACCCTCCCAGCACTTCTCTGGTGTGGATACTGAAGGTACCACTGGGTGGAGGGTTAGACTTCAGCGAGACAAACTGGTGAGCAAAAGGCGCGGGCTGAGGTGAAGCATCATCTGAAAAGAGCCAGAAAGACACTGTTATGTGTGTTTTTCAGACAACAGTTTGTCTAGATCAGTGGGAATCTTGGGTCAGCCACCACTATGAGACATTCATGGTGTTGATATCTGATCTATAACGCTCTTCATGTTGGGTTGGAGTGGGAACAGCTGCAGGAGAGTGGATGATACAATAATGTGCCAGGGACAAAGGATTATCATTTTCTAGATACTTCAGATTTCTAAGGTCAGGCTATACTAGAGGCCTCCTGTCACCTCTTTAACCTTTGAAAACAAATTCACACAAGCACAGTTCTGTCATTCGGTGGTTATTTTATTCTCTTCTGAAAACTATTTACAGACATTACCAATTACACATATCCTTGAACTTAATTTCCTTTTTAAATTATTTACATTTTTTACTTTTAATTCGTTTTTATGTTATCAGAACAAAAAAAAAAAAAAATACAGGTTACTTACCTATTACTTTAAAACAGGTTTTAGGAGGGTTATGGCTCTTCATCTGTACTAAATTCTTGTCTGTAACTGGAGTTATTTTAATCTGTATTCCACCTGAAACGTGGTTTGCTGCTCCAACTGCTTCAGTCGTTTTCTTAGCCAGAGGTGCTGATACCGTGTGGACCAAATCTGCTTTTCCTCCAGTGACTTGTAATCTGTATAAGATGAAAAACATTGCCATTTATAAAACTATGCATTACTATATGTTTATACACATACTATATATAGTCACTTTTACTTACAGAGGCTGCATTTATTTGATCAAAAACACATAAAAACAGTAATACTTAAAAACATGGTCCAAGTCAACCACTGCTCCAAAAGTAATACAATGCATTTTAAATCGAGGGACAAGCAATGCATCCATTGCTTGATTTACCCTACCTCTGTAGGGAATTAGGGCAGCTGTGCACTTGTCTGAGCGCGAAAGCCTCTTTTGTGGCTGTAGTAACATTCAAACCCATTGTTTTTGGCGGTTTGTGGCTTGGCGGTAACAATGTTGCATCTTGTGATGACGTTTTTGTTGTGAGTTTATTTACTGATGATTTTCCAGAACTCTGCGCAGTTGCTACAGGAGGACCCAGACTTGTTTTGGGAAATGTTTGGATTGGTGTTGCATCTGTAGGGACACTGGGAGGATTGTTGGGTACCAGTGAAGCTGTACACTGAGGCATTAACGGAGCAACCAGTCCAGTTGTTTTCGGTACGGTATGATTTGGTAGGGTTACATTCACTGCTTCAGTATGCTTCGGTCCGATTGTGTCAGGCAAAACCACAATCTTTGTCACAGGAATAGGCGCTTTGGTGTTTGGCGGTGACACTTTCCTGTCGTCTTGGGCTTCTGTCTTTGGTGGAGCAATACCTGGAGTCCTCTGGGTCACCACTGACGCAGCAATGACGGGTTTCGGGACATCATTCTGGTTTGTTGGCATGTTCTTTTTTTCAACCATATTCATTTTCTGTGTTTGATGATGAGATAGATCCGATCTTAGAGTTTACAGTGGATATTTCTTTTTCTCCCTTGATCTGCAATTTAGGCTCCTGTTGAACTTTGACATTTGTTGAATCTTTTTTAGCTTGATGGTCCTCTCTTATCGTACAATTGTTTTCATTGATTTCTAGCAAAAAACCTGCACAAACAAAGAATATACAATATAAGGCTTTATTATACTAGTATGCAAGTTATAGTATATATGCATAGTATATATATTTTAAACCCCAAAGTCATTCTCTTTTATTTGTATAACCTTTATTTATGGTTTGTTCTTTAGTCTCCCTGTCATTCTGCAGTCCATAAATAGTTAACACACTAACAGGCCCGTCATTCAGATTCATGTCCATCAAAAATGACCATGACAATCCTGCTGCCCCACTTCACCTTTCCAAATGACATATATGGTGTAATAACATAGTTTATTGTAGTTACCTTTCTCCGAAGGCATATTAAAAGCATGTGGCACCATTTTACGGTCTCTGTCCAAGCGAACATAGACTTCCTCCTGTCAACAGAGAGTGATAGAAAAAAAAACGGTTTACAAACCGGAATTAAATACATGGTCAAGGCCTGATCAGACCAAAAACTATAACTGTAGCAACAACTATGTTAACGTGTCAACGGCTAATGGTTGATAACATTGTTTATTATATGAGCATACTGCAGTTTTGCTGTTTGCTGCTTTAAATGCTCAAGATCTTTCAAATTGAATGGATTCTGATTGTCTGTCAATGTTTTTTCATTCATCAGCTCAACTCTGAAAAAAATTCCAATCATATTGTGCTTCTGTGTCATTATCATCATATTTATGGTGTGAACTTACTTATTCTCATACATTTTTAAAACTGCAGTTATTGTTGTTGGTGTTAATGGGCCTTAAATGTAATTTATGCCATTTTGATTAATGCAATCACTGTTTGCCATAGTCTTAAGAGTTAATGGAACCATTTATAAGCAATTCTGGCTGTTGTCCTTCTTTCCACTGACCACAGAGGTTCGAACAGGCAGTGATTTCCGTCTCTGTAGAGCCACTAAAGGCACAGACACTCTCTCACACTGTCTGTCCTCCAGACCTTACATATTTAAGAAAAAAAAAAAAAAGAAGAAGTTATTTAGACACCAACCTAGTTCCAAACCTGTATGACTTGTTTTTTTTTTTTCTTGTTTTTTTTTGAAGAATACTGGTAACAAAACACTTTTGGTTCCCATTGACTTTTATTGAATGGACAAACATTACAATGGAAGTCAGTGGGAACCAATAGTGTTTTGTTATTAACATTCTTCAAAATATTTGTGTTCAGCAGTAGAAAATAAGGAATCCAGAAGTCTGGTCTGAGCCGACAGCTGGCTGGTCACAGTCTCCTGCAGTGTGCTGTGCTGAACGCAGGTCCCACACATGGGGCAACTTCTCCCTGGGCTCAAGAGGAGCTGCTCCACTTTAAATCGTAGTTCATCAACCTTGGCCTCCAGGGTTGTGGGGCTGGATGGAGGCACGGGGCATTTCATAGAGCCCTTGACAGACATGGAATGAAGGTTGTGCTAGAGAGAGATGAAAAAATAGAGGTACTGAAGACAAGGTCTTCTTAAAGTCAAAATTACAATTAGGCCTGTGGATTTACACACACAGTGAACGTCATTGTTGCTACTTTCAAGTTTTTAATAGAAACTTTGCTGAAATAAATAGTCTAGGTTGGTTTGCTGGTCTTAGCTGGCTTTAGCTTGTCTCCTAGCATGACCAGCTGAAAAGAACACAATCTCCTTTAAAAAAAAAAGATAATAAATCAATAGATCCAACTAAGACCAGCAAACAAACTTAGACTGGTTAAACAGTTTCCCAGTAGGGAAACAAAATAAAACTCAGGTAGGCAAAGTTTTGCATGCAAAACTGACAAGTAACACAGACTCTTTATTTAACGTTAAATTGATACAATTAACTAAATGCAATTAAGTTAATATTACAATTAATTAAATTACTTTAAACAATATTAAGGAATATTTGAGTAAGTATTTGAGTCTAGTAAATGCATTTTCAGCTGTAACATTTCAGATTTATAGCTTTTTTGTAGTTCATTGAAAACTTCCTGCAGTATGACATTACATTTTTAAAAGTAGAAATATTCCATATGTATGTGTAACTGTTCTGTAATGAGATATAGATGTAGTTACAAAAAAAAAATAACAGTAACTGTACCATCTGAACGTCTTCAGACTATACTCCAAATAAGATATTTTCAATAAATTCTCAACCATTTCACACCCACCTGTAAAGATGTTTGTCCAGTGAAAAGTACATGCGTTTTCCGGCCAAGGGTTTGAACAGACTGTTCTCTGGAAGCTCACGAAGTACCAGCCTGTCAAAATTCTCTTTTATCACTCGGTAGCCACCTCACCAGAAATAGGCAGACCAGAGAAGGGGGCTCACAAACCGTAAACTGATATAAGCACGCAGAGCTGGCCCTGGGGAGGGGGCACAAAGTCTTTCCAAGACAAAAAGAGTAGAGACAATAAAGCATGAGCTGAACGAATGTGAAACATGTACCTTTAGCGTTCAACCATGCACTGCTGAGTCATGCAGCTTTAATGGAATAAAATCTCTGCCCTTTACTTAACCTACATATAAATTACATATCAAACCAAGAATAAAACTTTGCATGACAAGTATTTAGTAAAAAGTGACTAATAATTAGAAAGTGCAAGATCAAGACTGTTGAGTCCTTACAGATGACTTTCAACCAAATTAAGAAATAGTTTTATGAAGAGGTTGAATGGTCCAATTTCAGTTCAGCCACAACAGACAGTAAACAAATCATTTATACGAAGTTTCTTTATTGTAAAAAATGGAAGAAAACAGTCAAAAAAGGAGAACAGAAAAAAATGACTTCATATACAGGAGTTTAAAAAGAGAAATTTAGCTGGGGCAGTCGCCACACCCAACTGTAAAATTGTTTTACTCAACCACAAAGGCTTAAATGCATCAGCCACAGACAGATAGAGAGATATAAAAAGACAACAGCAAAACACATTGAGAACTTTGTACAATTAAGTCAATGTAACGGTGCATTACACATTTACAAGCGGAAACGATCTGAAAAGTTTGGAGATTGGGGCACTGTGAGAGACACTTCACTCTTTTTCAACTCCACTGGCTTATAGCGTCTGATTGGCTGGGCCTTGCGCACCTTTCAAAAAAAGAGATGGAATTAAATTTACAATATAAAAGGGCCAAATAATTTTACATTGAAGTGATGAAGAAATAAAATACATTTGTTCTTTTTAAGTGCAGATAAATATTTTAGATTACTTGATGCCAATTCACAACTTTCCAGGCCTGGGAGGATAAGCAACCTTCATTCTGAAATCGCTCACCTGTTCGTGTCGCAGCCTTGCAATCCCCTCCTTTTCCTGCTCCTCTCGTTCTCTTAGCCACTCCTCTTCCATGTGAGCCTTCAGCGCCTCCTTCTCGCTCAACTCCTTTTCGAACTCCATTCGTTCCTTGGCTCTCCGTTCTGTGGCCAACTGGAATGCCTCTGGAACTGCAGAATTAGTAGTATTGGCTTTAGAAAGTGCCAAAGGTAAACAAAGAGGACCAGATGAAGTGGTCAGGTAGAGGTGAGAGCAGTGGTGAAAGTTGGAAGGAAGCGAGAGTTGGTTTTGGAATTAACTGTGCACGCCAACAAAATTCACACAAAGTCAGTAAGCCCAGAAGAAGGTCAGACTGGAGACAGCACAACACGGGGTGTGAAACACTACGTGGAAAGACCACAAAAACCACCTGCCACATACAACAACATACCCAAGATGGAGCGAGTCTCCTTTTTCGGTACAAATGGTTCTTTGTGAGATACATTGTTTGGTTGTGCCTTAAAACATGCGGCTTCAGCCTGTCGTTTCAACTCCTCTTTCATCTGGAGAAACATTTTAATGGAAGGAACCAGTTAAGACACAGATTGTATACAATGTCACAAATGCAGAGAGACAAGTGATTTTCCACTGGCTAACTAGTTGCAAGCATGCAAACACAATTGCCAAGCAGAACATTGGTCATGTGTGGTCTAGAACAGGGGTCGGCAACCTGTGGCTCTTTCATCCCTCTGCGGTGGCTCCCTGTAGCACGGTCGTAAAACACACAGGGGACGTGTTCCCCCAACTTTTAATAAAACCTAAACTCTTCCCCTGCACTTTTTTTCGGGCAAGTGTGTTCACGTAGAGGTTAAGGACCAGTGTGAATAAATCTAGATTTAAATTAAGAGACAAGATAGTCACAGTTTTGGACGCATTTTATTCGTATCTAAAATGATGCGAGCATTACGGAGTGCCAGACACTCTCATGCAATGTCTCATTCATTCTTGAAGCCGGAGGGCGCTCGCGCAGAAAGTTTGAAACTAAGACTCATAGAAGTAATAACTTTTGATGTGCCGGGAAATCTGAAGCATGGACAAAAGCATCTCGCTAGGCTGAAGTAACAAGAATAAACCTTAACTGATGAAACCAAGACAATAATTGACAATATATGTTTCCGTGTTTTTCCAAGTCTTCTCCAGGCAGGTAAAGTATATGAATGATACAGTGCTAATTGACATAGCATTTATTACAGTACAGAAGCAATAAAATACATTTTCAATTGTTGTCAATTACACATACATAAATATTATTTCTGCCCCCCATACTTTTGAAATGATTGCCACGCCCCTGCCCTGTAACGTAGCTGAATATAAAACAGTTAGCTGCATGGCATTTTATCTTCATTTTAGAGATCAAATAGGTTTTGAATTTTATTAAAATGTGAATTTTATTCAGTGGGAAAGGGCCCAATATGGCTCTTCTGATGTTGAAGGTTTCAGACCCTTGGTCTAGAATATCAAAATATATGGAAGATGAAGAGGAAAGGTTTAGAAGATCTTACCATCTGCTCCCAGCGTTCACCCTTTGCAGCTCCTCGTTCGTCAACCATCAGCTTGAAAGGAGCAGGTTTGGTGGGCTCTACTACCTTTTTCTCAGGGAGGTGCACTTCATGGAAGTCAGGAAGGGGTTGGGCCTTAAACTTGGGTACCTGTGAGATTTGGGTGAGGCAGTCCAATTTAGGCACAGTTATGAAATGAAGAACAATAAGACTTTTAGCTGCTCCATAAAGAAAATACCTCTTCATTTCTCATTTCCTCCAGTTTCTTCTCCTTCATTACTCTTCGTTCATGTTCACGTTCCTCGAATGAGAAAGGGCACATTTCTACCTGGCTCTTGACTGGTAGTTTGGGCTGAAAGGGCAGGAAGTGGGGCACAGCATGTGCCTTAATTGGAGCAGGAGGCTTCTCCTGAACGGGCAAAGGAATTATGTGAAGAGTCAACAAATATCAGTTTCATGAATTTAAATAAAGCATAAGACTGAAATGTACCTCTTCTTTTTTCTTTTCCATTCGCACACGGTTTTTAAGAGCAAATGCAGGTGATTCTGGAACAGTTGGATTTAGAACTTTCTTCTCTGGGACACCCTTTATGAGGGGGGGTGTTGACAGTAACAATAGAATTATTAAAAAGGACGTCTCGACCTCGATAAAACAAACCTAAAAAAAAGGGGCTGAGAGAGCTGTTACTAACCACAACTTCCTCCAGAATTCGAGTTGGTAGAGGTCTGGGATGGAACGTGTGGTCCTCTTCTTCCTCAGGCTTCTTACTGGCCTGCCTCTCCTGAAGTCGCTTCTCAATCTCCAGCTGGAAGCCCTCAGGCTTGGTAACTGCTTTACTAGCCGGCTTTTTAAAAACCAAAGCTCCTTCTAGAATCTTTCTGTTGAGTTCTAGAGCTTTGAACTTAAACCTGAAATGACCGAAGGAAAGTTTGAAGAGATGTTCTTGTGCTAAATTAAAATTAAGCATTAAAACACAAGAGTCTCTTCAAAACTTACTGCTGATTTTTTTCTGTTTCTTCTGCCTCAATTTCCGCAGTGCTTTTCACCATTGTGGGACGATGTCTCTGGCGAGTCAGTAGCTGTGGCGTTTTGGGATGTGTGATTTTTGGCTTCTCAGCCTTCACTGGTGAAGGTCCTGCAAATAAAATACAGGCAAAATTAGTCAAAATCATCTGAAGTGTAGATTACAGATCTCCAAAGGAAATCATCATGTATTTATCCCACTGAAGAAAGTCATAGTTCTGGAACTACATGAGGGTGAATAAATGATGCTTTACCAGCATCACACAAGAATGCAATGCTAATAATATTCAAAGCTACCAGAAATAGGGTCTGACAGGAGACACACCTCTTTCCTGGCTCTGCCGACTACGCAGGTGATAGCGGATGGGAGTGCGTTTCTGAAACTGTTCAATCTGCTGGGCCATTGGCATGTAGGCTCCTGCCTCATCAAGCTTCCTCTTTCCTCTGGAGAGGTTGAAGGGTTTAGGAATGGTTGTTCCCTTTGGAGCCTTCAACTACAGAATGACAAACATTTAAACCCACTTGAAGTCATCAAGCAGCTTCAAAAAGAATCCAACTACTCATCCTAGTGACTGTACTCACAGGGGAAGATGGGTGCTTGCGGAGCTGAGAGGTGAAATCCACCTCCCTGTACGAGTTGTCGACTGCAGAGCCTCCATCAGTGTGGTTCTTTAGCCTGCTATCTGAGCGGAAGTTGAATTCTTTGGGAATGGTGGTGGACAGCACATGCCTCTTAGGAAGCTGACCTTTAAAACAACCAGAACAGCCAATTATACAATAAATGCAGCATTGCTCTTATCATTAAGAACAGAATGGTTTTGCTAGTGACTCACTGCCTGCCAGAGCAGCCCTGTAGCTCGCCTCATTCCTACGCCGCTGTTCCGCCACCTCTTTTTGTAGAGCCTCGATGCGCTCCAGCTCTTGCTGTTCTGTGCTTTTCTGTCTGAAATTCAAAGAACGCACATATATTTTACTTTAAAATTAAACCCTTCTGATAAGTAAATAAATGATAAAACATACATTGAAGTTAAATCAACTGAAAAGACACAAGGGGAAGCTCCTGTTCTTTACAAATACCAACAACTACCTAAAGTTTGAGGTTGGGTAAGTTTATGTTTTTTTTGCGTGTAAAATCTCACCCTTAGCTTCAGTTATTTGATACAGTAAAACGGTCAAAATTATACTACAAGTAAAAAAAAAAATTCAGTTTTAAAAATTCAATTGATTCCTGTGATGGCAGAGCTGATTTTTAGCATCATTACTACAGTCTTCAGTGTCACATGATCCTTAAAGTCTGAAAACATACCATGAAGTTAAATCAACTGAAAGCATTTTTTTTTTTTAAATAAAAAAAACTTTTGATAATGTAGTGTAGTTTGACTTTGCTAACAAACATTTTTGCTAATAGGATTCTCTCTCACTGTGTAGTGTTGGAGGCAGAGGCAGTGTCTGCGGTCTTTGAGGCAATGGCTGGTTTGTTTCTCAGCCGGACACTGCTCCTCGCACCAGCACCGCTGCGTCGCACACCAGCACCGCTGCGTCGCACACCAGCACCGCTGCGTCGCACAGTTCTGGAAGTTGAGCTTCTGTGAGGAGATAAACCAAAAGCATATTATTAGAAAATCACAGAATATTGTTACTTCCAGGTAACACCCCACATTACCAGCATTTTCACCAGTGAAGTCTACTACATGCCCACTAGGTGCCCTTCTCAGCTAAGCACACACATTTCCTAGTTAATTTTACCTTCGCCGCTGATCAAAAACTCTCCATGCTGTGGCAGCCGGTACAACTCTATGCAGCGAGACAAATGGCTAATTGAGCACACTCTAATAGACTAATAACAGATCTAAAATTTGAAAAACATACCTTCTTTTCTTGACAAGAGGAGGTGTTGTAGGAGCTGTAGGCTTTTCATCTCTAGGTACAGGCCGTTTGGACACTCTACAGGAAGAAACAAGAGAAGTCAACCAATGTTAGAATCGTTTAATTTCCAGCGAAATCGTTGACTTGATTGCACAGATACTATTTAAATTGAACTGAGCTGGACGATATCACCGAATTCAATGATGAACTGCCTTTAACTGAAAATTGAGTGTTTACCATTGTCCTTTTGCCACACTATTTGATACTGTAAAGCTACATATAAAATACAATATGTATTGTTAAAAGCGCTATATAAATAAAGGTGACTTGACTAGAAGAGAGTGAAAAAAATGGACTAGTTTAAGAGGGTGTATATAAATTACAGATAAGGTGTTATTTACCTCCGTGGTTGAGCAGGAACAGAATTCTGGCCCTGACCAGGAGCTGAAGTAGTTCTGCCGTTTGCCCATGATGTGACTATATTAGATGGGACCTCCGTAGAGGTGCTTTCTCTGACATCTGAAGCAGAGCAAATATTAAGATTCCACATGCAAATCAAACATCTTTTTTGAAGTTTTTCCTAATTGAAGCCGTTTTTCCCCAACCTGAGCTTGTTGTCTCATCTTTTTTGACCATGGGAGACACTAGAGCTTTGGGTCTGTTGGTATTGTGGGTTTCATTAAAAAATTTTGTCTGTAAAGGGGTGGTGAGCTGTTCCACCGTGCCGCCTTTAGGAGTTGCCTTCAACTCTAATAGCAAAACAGAACAAAGATAGTTGTGCAATTGAACATTTATGCGTTTAATTATTATTATTATTTGTGCACTTGAACATGTATGCATTAATTTATTATTAATATACATACACACACACAAACATAAAGATTGAAGTCATACCAAACCACTGGTCAGCATTATCCTGAGGGTCCAGGGCAAATTCATCTATAGACTCTATAACATGAGAAGGGGCATCCCATGTGTATGCATCAGCAGAGCCCCCTTCCATATTCACACCGGAATCTTCTGCAAAACCAAAAAGAAAAAGGATTTATACAGTTAAAACGTAATCTGTAGCAAAGCTGCACACATAATGAAGAAAAAAAAAATTATAAAGTAGTTCTACATTTCCTGCGCAGAGCGGCGCAAAATGGCAGTTGATGGCTAATCTCAGACTCAAGGCCCAGACTGCAATAGCAGCGCTAAATTTATCCACCGGTTATGGATTATAAGAATAATCTATGTAAATTACAGACTATTAATATTCTAATACATCTTAAATGGCAGATCGGCACTTTACACAGAATCAGTTGATATGAAATATCCGCATGCACCTCTCATTACTCATAATCACAAACAAAAGGATAAATGTAAACAAACGAAGCCTAAATAATATCTTTACATAAATTAAGATAACATTAATCAATTGAGTAAATAAACTCTGAAATCCGTCGTTCTGTTGCATTAAACATGAAAAACTTGTTTTGCAGCGATTACGGCCAAATAAAACCGCACCAATTAAAGCTTAATTTAAATGCAGCAGCTGAGTCTAAATCAAAATATGATAATGTTTAAAAATGTGCAAGAAAACATACTTACGTTTTAAACCAAACCGATGCCTACTATCACAACCTGGCAAAATATAGTACAATTCTGAATCAACAGACGCCCGTATCCTCCTCCACAACCAGTCGAGAATGCTAGTTTGAATGTTGGTGCCGTTAGAACTGCGTTTATGAATCAGCCAATCAGAGGGCTTAACACGGCGCGTTTCGTTTTCTATTAGCTCCGCACTTGTGACGTTTTCGAACGCGATAACCACGTGACTAGCTGAAAGAAGGAGAAGCACAGAGATGCATAACGGCTAGAAGGGATACGTATGGCGCTACTGGGCATGCGCACATCAATACAGCGTAATTTTTGTCACACTGTACAATAATTACTATTTTTTTCATTATTGTAAGGGGTAGGTTTAGGGTTGGGGTAGGTGTAGACGTTAATAAAACACAATCTAATAGGTAGAAAATTAATTTAATTGTTCGCCAACTGACTGAAGTTAGTTTAAATAAATTAATTGTTTTATTTACAGATTACCTTCATTTACGGTCTTCTGTTCTACAAAACGATCTTTTGTGATCAGTTGTTAGTAAAAAGTTATATTTTCATACAATTATCTTAATTCTCAATAGGCTATTCTTTTTTTCACTAAAATTTATTAGAAACATTTCATCAGTGAAAATGAAGCACAGACCCATACTAGGTTTCCAGCTTTAATGTTATCAGTGCAAATCAAAACACAGTGAATGTGGACAGAGAATCATGAATGTCAAAATACTAAAACAATACAGTACAATAAGGCAAGGGAATATAAAAATGACAAGGCAATAAAATTAAGATGCACATGTTATAAGCAATACGCTTCTGTGTAGTGAATTACATCTTCTGGATCATCACCTGGAATTTGCCTAAGAACAAAGAAAGTGCAGAAGAGGAGGGATGGCAGAAGACAACAAAAAAGAAACAATTAGTTACATTTTACATTTAATTAGAACTTGATGAGCTCAGACTTCATTAATGTTAAGTTTCAGATTAAGATCATGGAAAAAGTACTGAAAATCTAGTGGTTATTTCAATAAGACTATATTTTTGCATAAAAGTTGCTCCTTACAAGCAGGCATGACTGATACTTCTGCTGTGACAATACTTTTCACACCAAGGTTTGAAAGTGCTCCTCGGACCAGTCCACAGGTGAAGGCTAAGAACTGCAGGAATGAAAAAAGGAGAGAGAAAAATTAGTTTTACGATTTCTTTATGAACTTTTTGAACATAAAAGTGGTAGTTGTATAGACTGTCGATGGAGGGACAGAAGTCTTTAAGATTTAATTAAAAATGGACATGGAAATGGACAAAAGTCTTACAGGTTTGCAACAACACGAGGGTGAGTAAATGATGACAGAATTTTTTTTTTGGGTAAACTATCCCTTTAATTACATTATTTGAGATTTTATTAAATATTGTATATTCCTTCTTCCCTGTCTGTAGATACAATATTATTACAAGACAAATTTAAATACTAAATATTCATACTCATTATGGTATTTACAAGGATGAAGATATTGATTCTGCAGGTTCAGTTTAAAGATCAAGTCAGCTTATGTTTATGTTTTTATTTAACTCGCCATTAAAGCTTATTGAAGTTATTTATGCTGCTTACCTTCGGTGCATGTTCCATATACTGTTTTCCAGCAGACAGTTGGGTCAGCAGGCGAAACTTGTTATCTTGTAGCACATAAATACCCTACAAACAATTTAAACATGTGAGGATTTTCTTAATAAGCACCTCTAGTTAATGAAGACATACACTAAGCGCTGAGACGAATTGAGATGACATAAATTAGCATTATAATGTACACACCTGGTGGTTTGTTCTCAGGTTGTCAATTTGCTTCTTAAAAACACTGGTCCAGAAATCTTTGCAGATAAACTTCATAACATCAAGTTCATCTTTAAAACGTGGCGTGTCTTTGGTAAACCTGCAAACAAAAATGTGCTTGAGACACATCTTCTCAAGAACAAATGGCTATTTATTTGAAATACTAATTAAATAGTCTATTCAATTTTCAGTAAAATGAATTAAAAACCATTTAGTTAAATTTGGGTCCACTGACAAGCTGCAGTACTACAAATAAAACTGCAACAAGCAGTCAGATCATAGGATGTCATCAGAGGATTTGCTTGACTTAAGAATAAAATTTGAATTTATGGATGAAAAGATCTGCCATGATACCTCTCAATAAGTCCTTGTCCCACACGAAACCCCATGTTCTCAAGTTTAGAAACACATCGTCCATTCTCCTGAGCACAGCAGAACATTACATGAATTCAACATGCAACTTTCTCACAATTTGTTTTATTAGTGTGCTGGGCTTACTCAGTTCTATTACGCTATTCTACTATTCTGTGACAGTGTTTTCAGGGCTCTTACCGATTCCCCAGTTTCTGCACTGTTGACATATTGAATAATTTCACTGTGCAGGAACTGAAAGAGAGCCTCGTCTGCCATCTCGAGCCAGTTCAGCCAGACTGAAACTGACAAGCGACCCAAACCGACTACGGGTATAAATCACTTAGCCTACTACTTTAGTAAATGGACACTATTCATTGTGCGAAGAAATCAACTAAATTCAAACAATTCGCCAGTCTATTCGACTGCTCCCTACTTTACTATTAGGGTCCTTCTTCACATCTGTTCCACTTCCTGTTTGGCTGAGACCTAGCTGCCCTTGTATATGCCTGAACGTAAAGATGTTTTTTCTCTCTCGTTTTGTTTGGAAAAAGGGATTTCTCTCATTTTGTATGTAAATGAAGTATTGAAAAGTGATGCAGTCATGTACACCCGATTGACTATTATAATCAACACTTTGCCTTTTATATCTAAATTGGTTTGCAACTATTAATACCATTGTTGTATTGCACATACTAGCAGTTTTTTTGCAGTCTTGTTAGTAGACATAACAATATTAACGTTTTGTATATTATTTAATTGTATTGTTTTTTTAATGATACACAGGATTCAGTTTATAAAACCATTATAAAAATTAAGTATTTTATAAAATTAAAAAAAAAAAACTGTAAATGAATGCTTGCCTATATTTGGCTATAATTTTTCGTATTTATCTCTTAAATAATTTCTATAATTCATCTTTATAATTATATAACTTTTATATAGTTCATTAAAGACTTAAATTGTTAATGATTTTTAGTAACCCATTGCATTAATATGAATGAATAACTTGACATAAATACTGAGGTTTTAGAGCCTTTGGTAAAAACAACAACTATTATTATTTTACTGACAGTAAATCATGAATGAAACACACCAGAAACACAAATTCTACAAGATGCTTTATTTCTTAATTCATCCTTAACATAGTTTCTTTCCGCATACACCTTGATGTCTCACTCACCCACTTTTGCTTTCATAATGTTTATGAAAACAGTCCTTGGAACCCAAAAATGCCAATGCTTGGAATTTTAAAGATGTAAAACACCTGTTTACTCCAGCTAAACAGCCATTGGAACTTTACATTTCTTACTAAAGGTACAGTACAGCTGTGCACAGTGTGCATCTCACTGAGGTAGATCAGTCGGAGTCTAAACATCACAGTTGAGTTGAGGTCAATTTCATTTCAGTTCAGCCAAAGAAGGAAATGCCCAGGATGGTTTCTAAATAAAATAAAAACTCATGAAATGATTTCACACCTTCAGCTGGCCTAAACAAAATGGAGTTGACAACATATGCCATCACAGTTACCTTATAGGCCACTGGTGCATGTAACACGGAGTCAAAAGTACAGACAGTGAAGCAGTGCTAAAATACCATTAAAATTTACATGACAAAACATTTTCTTTTCTGACAGTGCTCCTGGTTTAGCTTGGAGAGATACATGAAGTGCTTTTCAGCAATAACTGGGCATGTGCTAAGATTATTTTGTCTGAAACTTCTAAATCCAGGCAAAACATTGAGGGAAACTTTGTAGAGTGAGAACTACGTATTGTGTAAAACCAGTATAACCATTTTTTTACATGAATATTCAGGGCGCAAATGATCAATTCTTGTTTATTACTAAACAAAAAATGAAAGTTATATTTTACTTAGTTCCCATATTAGGAAGGTGTCAGAATGGGCTACTTAATTTTAAACAAATGTTCACTTTTCATTGATTTTCAATTCCAGATCAATGCTTTATTCTGCATTTCATTCACAAAATACTCTGGAATGAACAGAGAGAGATGGGGTTTACAGGAGAAGAGTCTCCACAATAACTGTGATTCCTTTCATTAGCATTAAGGATGTGAACACAACAGCGCCTAAAAACTTTTACCTAGAGGCTAAAATCAACACAAGCTAATTAATTAAATGCTAATTAATCACCTGACTCTAAAAATGTCATAACTAAAACCATTGAGCATTCAAAAAGAAAAAGAAAATCAAATGAGATGACGTTTGCTTGATTTCTTGTCAAATGGTTGAATCCTTTTCGTGACAAGAGTTCAGCTTAGAGAGGTAGGTTTTTTTTGTGTTGTGTGACCGTGAGCTGAGAGGTACATCTAAGAACACAGTTCAACTTGACTTTTATGGTGCGGTCACATTAGCCAATTTTCGGCGAAATTTCATGGACAAAAAAGGTCAATAGTGTAGATGTGTGAAGCACAGCGCACACAGAAGTCAATTTCAAACAAAACAAATTTTTGTTGGTCAATGCGTTAAATTTATGACCATATGACTCGGTTGTGAAATTTGCACAGGGGAATCTTTCACCCGCATGCAAAAGTACCCACGTGGATTCCTATTAAAATAACTGGATTTTGCAGACGAAAATTCGCAGAACAATAAATGTGACCGCACCTTTAGTCATAGAAGTGCCGTTGATAAAAAGTGCTTCATTATACAACGGAGAACACTGTAATAGCATTATTTTCCTTCTTGACAAAAATATTGAGGTATATCTTTAGCTAACTTTTCAGTTATTTTTTTTTTTTAATGAATTTTATGTTCATTTATCACTACAAAACAGTTACTCTGAAGACCCTCTAGGAAAAACCACAAAGTTTTTTAACTATTCAAAACTAAAAGCAAAACTCCATCTATCCTAGTGATCCTTTCATCTAATTCTACAGGATCCATTTCGCACCCAACAAACTTCACCATCTCCAGTTCATTACCTATAAGCTACTTGGCAATGACGCAACAGAACTGTCGCGTTTGACTGGCAGGTCATAGTGGACACGGGCGACATCATTGCTGGAAGGCCTGATGGAATCGAGGTAGAGTCGGAGAGAAACCAGAGAGCTGGTTTAAGTGCCCTGAAGCCTGAGGCTCATGCAGTGACTGTGGCTGAAATGAGGAAAGCGGCCCAGAGAGCTGAGAGGTAGGGCTTGGGGACACGGCGTTGGTGGTGGTCGAGTATCCCAAGGTAGTGCTGTAGGGAGGCAGGCCAAACGGCAGGAAGCCCAACAGGTGCGAGAGGTCCATGTTGGCGGAGGTGGTAGGCGGCTCGGCTGAGGTGAACGCCGAGTTCCTGAGAGTGAAATGGGCACTCTGACCTCCCAGACTGTCAGTGAAAAGGTCGCCAGGCCGGGAGACGGCAGTCGCTACGGCTGCCTGCGGTGGCATTGGCCCGCACTGGAGTTCAGTCAGGAAGCTCTCCATCTCCGCTTTCAGATATGAGGTAGTGGAACTCGGCTGATATCTGTGAGCCTGCTGGTAATGCTGCGGAGGAGGCTTGTTTGGCTCAAGGTAGCAGCCCACACCCATTGGGCTGGAAAGGGGGCCAGACACCATCGTGTGATGGTGATGATTGACCCCTGAGGTAGATGTGCTCGGAAGGCCTTGAGGGTTGAACATGGCCATGGAAAACGCCTCTGTGGCATCTTTCGGAAATCCAACAGAGCACACGGTAGGACTGGGCTCCTCTTTAATGGGCATCGGAGGAAGGGTCTCCAAATCTTGCGCGTGGCTTTTCTTCAGGTGTCGGGTGAGGTGGTCGCGACGGCCGAAGCGTTGGGCGCAACGCGGGCACAGGAAGTCCCGTCTGCCGGTGTGCACCACTGCGTGGCGCCTCACATCCTTGCGAGTGAAGAAGCGGCGGCCGCACCGCTCACACTGATGCTTCCTTTCTCGTACCACAGTCCCCGGAGGTGGCCGGCCGGTGTGTGTACTCAGGTGTTCGAGTAGCGCCGGCATGCTCTCGAACGCCTGACGACAGACCTTACAGGTAAGGTCACCGCTGGCGGAGGTGGCATGCGTGGCCACGTGGCGTCTAAGACCCAGGCGAGTGTTGTAATGCTTTCCGCATTCCTCGCACCGCAGTTCCTGCTTGTTGGGGTCGTGGTTTTGCAGGTGGCTGTTTAGCTGGTCTTTGCCATGAAACATTTTCTCACATATATGGGTAGTTCTCAGGGAGTATGTCACTGTACATCTGTGAAAAGCCAACGATCAGTGATGACAACAATTCAAGGTTAAAAAATAAAATACAATTATAATCTCATTGTTTTAGAGCAGGGGTGCCCAATCCTGTTTCTGGAGATCTGCCTACCTGTAACGTTTAGCTCAGAATGTAATCAGGTAGATCTCCAGGAACAGGATTTGATAGCCCTGTTTTAGAGACAAAAGCAAGTACCTGAGAAGAAGCTCCAACAGCTGATTTTTCTTCGGAGTGAAGATTGTTTTTTTGCATGTTCAGTCTTCTGCACATAAACAAAAAATGCAGCAGGTGAGGATTTGGTAGCATCATCTTGATCTTATACATGCACTTAACACAGTAATAACAGTAAAAATGCACAGTTACAAGCAACTAACCATAAATGAAACTCTAAGCCTAACCATATATTAGGTACAATTAATATTACTCGGTACTTACTTGTATAACTACAGTGCAATGACACCTTAATAAAAACAAAGTGTAAATAAAAAGTAAATAAATATAGTATAACCAATTATATTCCCCCTTAAAGTTCTTTTATGCAAATGTTGATCTAAAATAGTAATAAATCCACAGTGGATTTAGCCATGCAACAACCCAAAAAGTTTGATTTCTAACATTCTTCAATTATCTTCTTTTGTGTTCCATAGAAAGGGGATTAGTAAATGATGACAATTTTCATTTTTGGGTGAACAATCCATTTAACTTGTTTGTAAACAAAGTACAACAATTATAATAACTTAAAGCTTTTTTTGCTGCTACATTATCCAAACAAAAATATTTAAGGCATATACAGTGTAATAAAATGCAATATGATGGTAAAACATTTATATACTGTATATGCTTATATGCATATATTGTTTAAAAATTCCCGGAGGACACTAATGCATCAACATATCATTGAAATAACACAGAACATTTCTGAAAAATAAAAAGATCCCTAGAGAATTTTGACTTCTAAAGAGATAATAAATGAAAGAAATAAACAGAAAAAAGAATCAATTCTTGCTTTAGTTTAGTTAAACAGATAAAACTTACAAAATTGGAAATTTGGAATTGCTTAACTCTGAAATTTATTTTATATATGAACAATGGAAAAACATTTTTTAGATTTATTTATAAAACTTTAGATTAAAAAAATTTAATAAACAAAACTTAAAGAGTGGCTTGATGGCAAAGCAGTGCAGTCTATGAACCAACCGGTCTCTCTGAATGGTAACAGATTTCAACACGAGAAACTTAAAAACACCCTGAGGGGATGTCAATGATGATTGGTTAGTGACATTTATAAAGGGTTTGTTTACCTGTTTCAAGTCTCACAAAAGCACATTCATTATCTTGACAGGCCTCCGGAAAACGCATGTCCATTATTACTCCCTCCCTTTTAGAGAATGGATGGACATCATTCAGGCAACCATTTGAAGTATTTTAATATGAACATAAATCCAAACTAATTTACTTCATTATTATATAATTATGTTTTAATTTAGTAAAAATATTCTTTTTTGAAGCTTATGAATTTGGCTCTGCTTTAAAAGTTCAATTGGGACAAAATATGCTTCTTCTATCTATTATCTTTCAAACATAAAACTTGTTCATGTAGAAATACAGCATAATTACCAAATACAATAATGGAAACAAACATTTTTGCTTATTTTCAGCTTTGAATATTTTAAATTCCAAATGGCTACAAATTACATAGTAACTGCATTTTCTCCATTTCAACTAGCAGTTTACTGCAAATATGACACATGAAATTATGAAATTGTACTTGTATTGTACACATAAAAATGTCATGTTCGTGTAAAATTTGATTTTATAAAATAAAACAAAATATACTAAACTCTTTTTTAATGTGTGTCTAATACTATATATTTTGTTTCCTAAAAAAAACACCTTGCTGATTTCATCTTTTAGTCTATTTACTACTGGCACGTTTCGGGGTCAGAAACCTGTGGCACGTTTCGCTCAGCAAAATCTCTAAAGAACCGCAGAACATTGTGATTAAATGGTAAAATCGAAATTTTCCGTAATAAAGAGCGAATCAACACAAATCAAACTATCCTTTCGTGCTTGCCCCATGTTAAAAATATAAACAAATAAAAGACATTGAAAGCACTATCAGTCTTACGCGTAGCTAATGTGTTTGCTCATGCACGCAACATTTAAAGTTCTTATGTGGGTTACTGGCGCACATTTATCTTTTCAAAAGTCTAAAAATACTACCCACGAACCTCCATGAGGTTTTCAAACATTTGAACATCAATGCAAACAGTCCATGCGGTCCTAAATTCACAGTCTAACATTTGCATAAAAACAGTCTTGTGCTCACCAGAAACTTTTGATCCCCGCTAAAGTTGCAGTTCTCATGCATTCCTCCATTCTACATCTCGCAAGGGTGCAAATAAAAAATTCGTTTCCCAGCCATATCTCGATGGATTCTCAAAAATTATTCGCAGTGGATAATTTATTTATTGTTCAATAATGTGTGTATTTTTCGGGCCTGCTGTTTCTGTCCCTCTAAACATAGCAGCGCTGGAGCTGATGGGGCGCGTGCATTGTGGGAACGTGACGTCAGACCTCTTTGGTCAACTTTCAGGGTGGGATTTCACTCTTATTTTTCACCATTTAAACTATTATAAACACTCACATTGCATCACAGTGAGTTCTATAAATAGACTAAAAACGAATATAAATTACGCGGTATGGCCATTTTCAATAGTTATTAATTACTTCAACTCACTAGTGAAGGAAAAATTTTAAGTTTCTGAGAATTAACTTGTATCTTTTAAAAAAAATTCATGAATAATACTGTATTTGACAAGATACAATTAATATATCACCACTCAACTTGTTTACAACGTCCGGTTTGTTGCACTCGAGTAATAAATTGCCAATGAAACCTTTAGGTGCGGGAACGAACTTGACAAAGTAGCAGAACTTTTCTTCCCTTCTGAGCTCATTATGCATTATTCCGAGGTAACGTTTAGCACAATTTCGTTTTTGCTTTCAGTATATGTAATGAGTACTGCTTTTCTAACATTGTTTCCATTTCACAATGGAGCGTTTTAGTTTCCAAGCATGTAATTGTACGTGCAAAATAACATCCGGTGAAGTCTCGTGAGAAACTGATGTAACTTAACGAAGGGCATTCAGAACGAGTAACGAAGGTTCTTCAAATTGTTATATTATTACTGTCGGTAACTGCTCACTGAAGAAGCTCAGTAAGTGTAAATAATGTATTCATAATAATTATGATAGAACCTAAAATAATACAACAAAAATATCCAAGTTTTAAATTTTATAATATTACTTTAAACACATGTACATATTTTAACACACACACACACACACACACATATATATATATATATATATATATATAGGAGTTGGATAATGGAAATTAACACATTTAAAATAGTTTTAGAATACTTCTATAAAATAATGCTATTTTGTTATTAAATGTAATTATGAAATAAATTCATAATGCTTATACTGTAAATTTAGCATTTCTTTTAATTTAACAAAATAAAACAGAGCTGTCACTTTTGCAGTGGAAACATTAAATTGCATTAAATGAAGAATTTTAAAGCAAGGTTACAGTAAATGCATATTGTTGTCTTATATAATAATATACGCATTCCTCGCATCTAGTTTTCACCCTGTTATAAAACTACTAACAACAACAAACTCAGTACTTTTGAGTAGAAATAACCGTTAATATTTTCTTGCTCAGCAAATAATAGTCCGTATTCTAGAAATACACATAAGCCAAAGAAAAAAAAAGGTTCAGTAAACGATACAAGACTGAAGAGTATTTAAGTAAGCAGAGAACTAAATATTGTGCTGTAATGTGCGATGTTTGTTAGCATTATATGGAAAAGTACAGACTAGGAAAATAAATGTTGCTAGCGAAGATTACACAGACTATAACAAACTGGATAAATGTCTGTATATGCTTTAGACCAGGGGTGCCCAAACTCGGTCCTGGAGGGCCGATGTCCTGCAGAGTTTAGATCCAACCCCAATTAGACACACCTGAACCAGCTAATCAAGCTCTTACTAGGCATACTAGAAACTTCCCAGCAGGTGTGTTGAGGCAAGTTGGAGCTAAACACTGCAGGACACCGGCCCTCCAGGACCGAGTTTGGGCACCCCTGCTTTAGACCGCAGAGTTATACTTGCTGGTAAGGAATCTATGCATTGTTTAATCAGTAGGACAGAAATAATACATCATTGTTGTCAACTCAAAGAGTGTCAAGGCTAAAAATATTTTCATCACTTACAGCTCCCCACCAGCCAAGCAAACTGGAGCTAAATTTAAAAAGAGGGTCTGGCTAACAACTGAACAATGTGTTAAACATGGAATTGCAATTGAAGATCATAAGCAGTATGATCATGTATATCATAAAAAGTTTACCAATAATAAATTGTTACTAAAACAACAAAAGTTTTTCAACTGCAAATTTTGTTTTAAAAAATATTGAAATTCAGATTATTTCATTTATAAATTGTCAGACCAGTTTGACTCTTTCATTGGAGAAGAGCCAAATCAAGAAAATGATTCACTCCCAAATCAAATATCAAAATCACTTGTGAGCAAATATGCTGTACACGAAAGTGATATCCAGCTAAAGGCAGAGTATAACCAGAAAATGTATATGGATTAAATATATGGATTTTTTTTATTAAATGCATGCTTGCTGTTTTTATGTGTTCTCTTAGAATATCATTTTATTGTTTAAATGTTTCAGTGGCATATCTGAGTCTGAGACTACATACCTTACATAAAGAGTGAACTTCCTTTTTACTTTGAGACTACACTAGTTCTCAGTATTTTTAAATAATAGTTTCCCTAATGCTATTGAATTTGCTGAAATAATCCACCCAGTTGAAATTAGCTTTAAAATAGACAAAGATTTATCCAAAAGTCTTTATTCAGCTGCCACATTATGAAAGTGTACTTCATAGTTACAATATAGAAAATAACACCGTAGATCCATTGACTGCTTAATTTATATTCTTTGTGCAGTAATTCATATTCTGTATAAGTGCAGTTTTTGACACAATATAAATACCTTGGTGAAAAAGCCACCGTGGAGTCAAACACGAGCAAACAAACACTTGGTTAATGAGTTTTGAATCGGGTCTCAGTCCTGAAAACATTTTTTTTTCCTGCTCCTTATGCATATTCTTCTTAATACCACTTACAGGCTACACAAAGCAGTGGCGAAAACCCTTTCCTTTGATTCCTGAACAGACATTTCTAACACAGTATAACAAGCCTTATTTCAGATTGGCCATCTAAAGATAATGACATATACTCATTAAGAGGTGTAATTTGGCTCAAGAGCTATTAGACGAGAACTGAAAGGCTGTACAAGAAATGACTGCTGAGCTGGCATCTGTTTGGCAGGAATATAACCAACACGGGTCTAATCATAACCCCATCACAGAGGGAAACACGGCTGTACCTGCAAAGAGAAAATAGCATCGAAAGTTCATCAAACAACATTTGTTTAAAAAAAAATGAATATGATTATTTTTTTTTAGAAAATGATATGCACATGCTTTGTTATACAGTTAAATTGAAATATTTCATTTTTTTCCAATTATAAAGATAGACACAACTACTATTCAGGATGATTAACTGGCCAGTATTTGGTCAATATTTGGCCTTCTTGGGCAAATAGGAATAGTTCACCTAACAATGGAAATATGTAAAAATGTACTTATTTTAAAGGAACAGTTTACCCAAAAATGAATTTTTTAAAATTATTTAAATCACCCTGAGGCCATCCAAGATGAGTTTGATGGACTGGAGTCGTATGGATCACTTGTGGATTATTGTGATGTTTTTATCAGCTGTTTGAACTCTCATTCTGACGGCACCCATTCACTGCAGAGGATCCAGCAAGTGATGCGATGCTAAACTTTATGCAAATCTTTTCTGATGAAGAAACAAACTCATCTACATCTTGGATGGCCTGAGGGTAAGTACATTTTCAACCAATCTTCATTTTTTGTGTGAACTACTCCTTTAAAAGTAGGGTTACCTCTTCATTGTGTTAGTTACAAAATCTCCTGACAGCCTTGTTTAGGGATAATATTATATAAAATAAGTGTGCATTTCATTATATATACAGTATATTCGCATTAAATTAACTTAAAGGACATTTGTATCTGCATTTGACAAACCTATATCGCTCCAACTTTACAGATCTTCTTTATGCACCAAGAGCTTGTAACACTCTAAAGAGAAAGGAAAAAATGAAATCGCATCATATGACCCCTTTAAACAACTGAACAGCCTCTAAAAATACACTATATAAAACACTAATATATATTACATCAAATAATCTCACTGCCTTGTCAGTGATTCGTACTTTTTGGGCTACCTTGACCATCTGCAGAGTCAATGTCTGGAACTTTCCAGTCTAGCTTGCGTCCTTTCTCATAGAGAGCCTTGAGAACCTTCCGGAACTCCTCTTGTCCTCCGTTATGACTCAGCTCCAAGTACTTCCTGTACAACTGTAGGGCAGTCCGTGCATCTTCGATACTATCATGAGTTTCGCTCTGAATGTTCAGATCTGAACAAATGTTCAAACAGCCATAAAACACTGATACACAGAAAATGACATATGAGGTCAAGAGATAAGGGAAAATTTATGGGTCATTACGCATCAACTCAACCAGCTCAAATTTTTGATTTCGCTAATATTTTTTCTGAAGAAAGACATACATGTATAGTGATGAAAGTCAAAATATTAAATGTCATGGATAAATATTTACTGAGTAATCCACTATTTTGTAGAGGGGGGGTCAAAAAGGCCATTTTCACCTGAGATTCAGAGCCAAATAACAAGGGGGTAAAATGACTTCAGAGAGATGGCAGCATCATAACGTTATTTTTACACAGAGATTGGTGGGTCTGTTAATAAAATCTGTGGACTTTAGCAATCTTTGTTTCATTATGTGCCAATGGTGACCATTCAAAAATGGGGAAACAGCACTTTTCAAGTTTTTTCTCCAAAGTTTGCAGGCCTGGAACTCAAGAAGTATTAAAGATATCTTGATGCCGTTTTAGATATTGGGTCTTAAAATTTTTTGAATGGTCACCATTATGACCCTTTCATGACCCTTATGCAAGAAACCTACCGAGAAAGTACCACGCGAGGAAACGCAGAGAAATCATTCGTTTCCGAGGCATGTGGAAGAGGTAGACGGTGTCAATCACCTGTTCTTTTGGAACCTAAAAATGTGAGGGGTTACAATTTAAACACTTCAACATACTAAATAAAACATTAACTCACAAAAATTCCACTCACCATCAAGTTTATGACCCGGAAATCTTTCTGTAACCCGTGGCCGACAAAGCGAACGCCAGTGTCGATAAGAAATCGCAATTTCAAATATGTAGATTTCAGAGTAGTCAAATGTTTAGAGGAAATCTTTGCATCCAGGTCTCCAGGTTTGATACCAGAGTACTGGGTCAGGTAGTCCACCACCTGTACATCCAAAGAGGTTAAATTAGTAAGAAGTTTTTCCCAACATTACAAAAACACAGAAAGTATGGAAATCACTAGTACACTAACAGTTATTCCCTGTGATTCACCTTACAATTAAATGATTCAAAAATATTCAGTCACAAGTGACACTAACAAATAACATATCTCACCTGACAAGGCACAAAACTGTGGTTCTCACTTTATGAGGTCATTAAAAGTTCCTGATAATTTCAAAAGGTAATTTCCCTATTATGTGAGTTACATTTAGAATGATTCTACTGATTTATGACCTGTTCCTGTGTTGATATGTAGTCATCAATGAACGGCACTCCCTCATTGGTTCCCTGGCCTCTCACGCATGTGATACGAGCAACAGACATCTGGCTGGGCTTAATGGTGGACTTGGTCCCGTCACTGCGCAGTTCTGCCTCTTCCTGTTCAAGCAGCAACACACAAAAGCATTAAATATTTGGGGTAGGAGAAAATTGTTTGTTTGTTTGTTTATGATTTAACGCCATGTGAGCTACCTCGGCTATATTCATGGCGAGAACAAGGTTAGTTAAGTTAAATTAAGTTTTTTAATTTGATCTTAGATAAAAATTCTAAAACTAAATCAGGCCTTACTTCATTAAAAATCTTTCCATAAAAGTCAACAGAAAAATAAAGAGTTCTGACAGACTTTAAACTATTACAATCCATCAAAATATGCTTCAAAGATGGGTAGGAGAAAATACGTCAAAAAATGTCAGTAATTATAGAACATTAAAGTGTTTCACACTGACCTGGTTGAGCGTGACAAATTCTGCATCCAATCCGACAAGGTCTGCAGCCTGCGGCATCTCATTCACCATTAGAGGTATGAAGGTGGCGTGACTCTTCCTCTGTTTCCGTGCCAACGAGGCCTCCGTCAGCAGAACGCTGGCATCAATAGGGTTCTTAACTAGGAGGAAATGGAGAAGATGCAGGAATAATTGAAACAGATGCTCATCAAGGCTGCATTTCTTTGATCGAAAATACAGTAAAAACAGTAATGTTGTGAAATAGTATTACAATTTTACAAATCATTCTAATATGCTAATTTGATGTTCAAGAAACATTTCTTTTTATTTTCAGTGTTGAAAATAGTTTTGCTGCTTATTTTTGTGGAAACCATGGTATGTTTTTTTCCAGAATTATTTGATAAATAGAGAGTTCAAAAGAAAAGCATTTTTTTGTAACATAAATCACTTTATTCTCATTTTTTATCAATTTAATGCATCTCTGTTAAATAAAATAATTCAATAAAAAAAAATACTGACCCTAAATCCTTGAACAGTAGTGTATGCATATTATAAATGTTCATCATCTTAATAAAATGCAAACTTTATAAAAATTTTGTGATAGCACTGATACATTTTAGTGAGAAGACCAAAAGTACATTCTGTGAGATGAATGATCACATACTTCGCAAATCATACTTGGGATGGTAGTTCCTCTTGACGTAGTAAAGTACAGCAGGAACCTTCCAGTTCACATCAAACTGAGCTGATTCTGCCTAATGGAGACATATTGCAACACAATTCAGGGTCACATATGACGCATTTCCAGTGGGAATACAGAACTCGCTGTGCAAGTACACATGGGGTCTTTTCAGAATAGGAAAAGTTGGAATTTGCCTGATGTTTGGTATTTTTACCTTGTCAATGGGCTCAATCAGAAAATCATTGAACAGATACCACTGCTGGTGTGTTACTCCCTGAAAGCAAGACAGAAAACACAGTTTGTCCCTTATGTCCAACATATTATGTCAAAAATCTAGCAAGTACTTTAAAGATTCGCTCATACCTCTTTCCTTTGGTGGTAGGTCTCGCCCACTTTGATATGTGCTACCAGGTTTCCTCCGGTCCGAGCATCCTGGATATGAGATACGATGACGACCAGGTCATAGACAGACGCTCCTTCTGCCTCTTCACTTTCAGTCAGCTATGAGAAGAAACAAGACACATTTTATTTGAGCAAGGTCATTTAAAAAAATTAAAGAGTCATCTTTCCCAGGTATGACATATCTTGATGTGGTTAATGAAGTTCACCCTTTGAAACAGTGAAAAGGTGTTCCTCACCTCCTCTCCCTCAGACAGGCTGCTAACCTCCAGGCCCTGAGTCTTACTGATGCACATCTTCAGACTGAGAGGGATCCACACGTGCCTCATGTCCTCCGCTTGAGTGTCAAAGGTCAAGCCCTCCACGTTGCACAGCTCTTCCCTTATATATATATATTATTATATTAAATAAAAAACATATAGACAGATGCGTTTCTACAATCAGCACACTTACTCTAAACACCATTCTGTCGGTAAAGGCTCTTTGGGTTTGGGAGGTTCAGCTGCTTCTTTCTTTAGAGCTTTGTTGTACGCATACTGTTAACAAAAAAAATGAATGAATGGAAAATTAAAACAAATCAGTGTGCCTAGTGTCACACACCAATAACATACAGATCAGCTGAATGAACAGGATGTTGCATTGCTAATACACCACTGACATATCTCACTGTCATATGACAGAAAAATATCATATAACAAAGACATCTTTAAGTAATGACTCCAATGGCTGTGTAAAGCATTAGAGGATATTTAAGGGTGTATTTATGGCTGAATTTTGTAAATGCATGATTATATATCCTGGCAACAAGAGGGGATATGAGTCTAACCTCAGTCTGTGCTTTCCAGAACTCTGCTTCCTTAGCGCTGTTCACCTCACAGTTGATCACCAGAACATCAGGCAGACAGCGAATGTTCCTGGTCTGCACCTAAAAATACATAAATATTTAGTATTTTGTGCTTCTACACTTTTGGTTGGTAAGATTTTTGAAACAACTTTTTGAAGTATGTCTCTTCTGCTCACCAAGGCTGCATTTATTAGATCAAAAATAAAGTAAAACCAGTAATATTGTGAAATATTATTACAATTTAAAATAACTGTTTTTTATTTTGATAATAAAAGTCAGTGTCACATGATCCTTCAGAAATCATTCCAATATGCTGTTTTGGTGTTAAATGAATATTTATTATTATTATCAATGTAAAAAATTCAGCGTAAACAGCCTTTATTTGATTTTAAATCATTGTTAAAAACATATCTTTTAACTTAGGCTTTTAATCTCTCTGGGTGTTGAGTTATATGTTCGTGGTGTTTTCTTCTGTATGATCTTATTGTCTTTGTATATTTATAAAAAATTTCTCTATCTTTGTACAGCACTTTGGGCAACAATGGTTGTATTAATTTGTGCTATAGAAATAAATGAGAGAGAAAGAAAAATAAGAAAGAAAGAAATAGCCTTCGATTTAATGCATCCCTGCTGAAAAAAGTATTAATTTCTTTCAAAATAAAAATCTAACTGACCCCTATTTTTTTTAACGTGTATATATAGATAGGCATGTAAAAACCTACTGTTGGCTGGTATTTCTCACAGTTGTCACACCAGGCCTGTGTGCTTTGCTCCAGACATATACTCTTCTTTAGGATTTCTGCGAAGTCATATTCCTCTATCATCTTATCTGTCAAAAATCAAAGAGATCATTTAATGAATTAACTCAGTTTATAAAAGAAGAAAGATGTATTCATGTGTGAATGTTTGGTGGTTCTGACCTAGAGAGCTCTGCTCAGGGTAGTGTATGGTAAACAGCAGAGTCAAGGAGGAGCGAACCGTCTCCTTTCCACAGCGACACAAACTGCTGTTCTCCACTTCACAGCCAAACAACCGGCCAATCACAGACTCCCCCGAGGAACCCAGTGTGCTGCCGTGGAGACAAAACCTAAATTGTTCTCGACTTCATTCTTGTGTGAATTATTGCATTGAATTCAAGAATGATGCTCCACACCTGCTGCTGGCTCCTCTGTATGCCTGCGGCCCTTCCTGCTCCAGTGTTTCCTGATGCAGCTGTGCAAGAATGAAACGGTTCCAGCTCTGGATGAGACGGCCTAGACGGGCTTTCCCTGTCTGCTCATCAGAGTCAGCTAGGATCAAACCTAACGCCGACGCCTCCGGGATTGTCCGGAAAGCCCGGAGAAAATTACTGGCCTGTTAAGAAAACAAACAAGTGCTTTGTGTATGTGCATATGCTATGCATGGCTGACAGCTCTGAAGGCATTGATACAGCTGGGGATGAATTCTGATTGAATTGATTGTGTTAGTGCACCTGGCAGGGGTCTCCTCTGCTCAAGTCCAGCATGTGGAACAGGAATCCCAGCTCACAGGCCAGACAGAACTCCTTCTGACACAAATGATTCTGTACCAGGCACCTGACTGGCTCCAGGAAGTACAGCACCTGCCACAGCATACACAGAATTAACTATTAACAAAATTCCAAAGAACTGGAACATCCAAAGTGAAAGTTGTGCATTCCCAAAATTCCGTAGAGAGCACAAAAAATTCCAAGGACTTTTTAGAGGAATCGGCATGGTGACGTTTGGGATTTTTTTCAGATTGCCGAGGCAAATATCAGGCAATTACATTTTAATGTGTATAATTATGAATCAGAATAAATATGTCACCATTTAATAAATGTAATATTATATATAATATATTCAGTATAAAACTATAACGCAGTAAAAATGGTATGTGTGTGTATTTTCACCTGGATCATGCAGTTGCAGTAAGCGTTGGGTATGTGAGGCTCCAAACCAGCAAACAAAGTCCGGTTGTAGTGCTTAAAATCAAAGTCTTCCAGTCCCAGTTTGGAATATTTAATGGTGACCTGACATAAACACGTGCCACATAATCAAAACCCAGTATCTCAGGTGTCTTAAATTGTATGCAAACAAAAATTTTGTTCTAAAAACAATACATTTAACATTATCTCATCTAAAAAGAACCTGCGTGCCAACATTTGTAATGGACAAAATAGCTTGAGTAGTACGTAATCATCACCAAAGATCATAGGATTATGCATAACAATGGCTAATCACTACCTTCCTGTATTTCTTTGGAACCATGTAAAGATGCGGCTCCTCATCTCGACCAATAGGAGATTCCGGGACCTGATTATAGCTGTCATACTCAAGCTCTGTGTCTTTAATCTTATAAGGAACCTGGAAAAAACAGAGATAAAAAAACAAAGAAATTACTGGTTGGACAGCATTACTGCACTGAAATGATTGACACATTGTCAAATAACATACCAGAGACACTAGATCAGCTATGTTACTGTAAGATAGGACTTCCCTCTTACAGCATATGGAACGTCTTTGTCTTGATAGTTGTTTACCATTTTTACACATTTAGTGATGATGAAACCATTGAAATCTGTTGAGTTTACCTGGTTTCTGGGACGGGTTCTAGGATTGGGGGCGTATCCAATAAAGCCCACAGTTTTCATAGTCCTAAGAATCTCTGGATCTACCGGAGGAGCCCGTCTGACAGTGAAAAGAGCACAGTTAAATTAACTAATCACCATATAGCATGTCATTTGTTAAGGGAATTTATATTACAACTGTGTAAATGAAATTAGTGTGAATAAAAAAGTGAGCGCTACTAAATATATTTTTGCTCAAATTTAAACAATAGATCCAGGTCTATGACATAGGATCATGACCTAGCCTGAGACATACTGCAGGGGGCAGTATTACACAATAACACTCAAATACAGAATCCCATACTACCCTAATACTCTATGATTTTCTGCAAAATATGCAAATGTATGAATGCATAGAATACCCAGATGACTACTACATTTGCAGTATACAGAGGAACAAATATTTGAATACTGCAATTTTTCTCTCTTTTTTGACTCATAATGTGGTTGGATCGCCAATGTAAAAAAAAAAATGTTTGGACAAAATTGGATTAAAAATGTGACCTAAGTTTACATCTGCTATGAACAAACTCTAAATAAATAGTTGTACAACAAAATAAATGTAATAATACATATAAATTGATATAAAATAGCACTTGTATCTCAATGTATCTTCAAGCACTACATCTTTTACTTATTATTTTAAAATATTTACATATACACAACTGTTCAAAAGCTTGATGTCAGAAATAAATGAAAACTTTTATTCAGTAAGGATGCATTAAATTGATCAAAAGTGACAGTAAAGAATTTACAATGCTACAAAACATTTTTTATTTCAAATAAATGCTGTTTGTTTTTAGTCATCCAATCCAAAAATATAAAGCAGCAAAATGGTTTTCAATATTGTTGATATTAATATTAAATAATAATAATAAATGTTTCTTGAGCATATTAATTGTCATATTAAAACAGTAAAGACTGGAATGATGGCTGCTGAAAATTCTGCTTTGCCATCACAGGAATAAACTATATTAAAATGAAAAAATTTAATTGTAAAAATTGCAATAATATTTCACAACATTACTGTTTTTACTATATTTTGATCAAATAAATGCAGTTTTTGTGAGAATTCTTTCAAAAACATTAAAATATCTTACTGACCCTAGTGTATATACGAGGTGTAGTCATACCTGGGGCTGGGTGTAATAAGGGAGGTGGGCCAATCAGAGAGCAGGGGCTCGGTACTGGTGAGGGGCATGGGTAGAAGAGACAGAGGCATGAGCTCATGGTTCCAGTCCAGCTGGGGCAGGGAGTCCACCAGGCAGGGTAGAGCTAACTCTGTCTCCCTGGAGTAACTGTTAAAGGACACCTCTGGGGCGCTGGACCACAGGTGCACACAGCCACCAGAGTCCCCAAAGGAGAGCGCCTGCTTGCTGGAGGACACATCAAAGCTCATCAGCAGCTGCCCCACAGTGTTGACGTGGAAGATATCAGCCAGACTGGCCAGGCCGGTGGGCTCGCAGAACTGACACTGACCTACAGACACAAAGACACAGACTCACACACTAGGATCTCAGTGACAAAAAAATAATCACAAATATTTTTGTAAAAGCCATGTAGTAAATATGATTATTTAAAAAACAACCAAAAAGTAAATAGACTAGTACAGGACAGTAACAGTGCTTATTTCAAATCAGACATCTGATTCAACGTTTAAACTCAAGAGCAAGTGGCTTTTTCACCCATTTTTTAATTTTTTTTAATAAAATGTACTTATAAAATTTTATTTAAAATTATTGTAATTAAAACAGTGTTAAGACTTTTATTTTTATGCAATCTTTTATAATTTTTTATTTACAATATAATTAATTTCAAAATAATGATTTTATGTTTAACCTGAAATCTTTAAATAAAAAAAAAC